ACAAACACAAACACAAACACACACACAAAACACACACACAAACACAAACACAAAACACACACACAAACACACACACACAAACAAACGCACAAACACACACAAACACACAGAAAAACACACACACAAACACACACACACAAACACACACACACACACACACACAAAAACACACACACAAAAACACACACACACACACACACACACACACACACACACACACACACACACACACACACACACACACACACACACACACACACACACACACACACACACACACACACACACACACACACACACACACACACACACACACACACACACACACACACACACACACACACACACACACACACACACACACACACACACACACACACACACACACACACACACACACACACACACACACACACACACACACACACACACACACACACACACACACACACACAAACACACACAAACACACACACACACGCACAAACACACACACACACAAACACACACACACACACAAACACACACACACAAACACACACACACACACAAACACAAAAGGCCGAGTTTCTCCAAGGAGATTTGCCGCCGCTGCGGGGAGCCGCGCCCCACCTGGCTGGGTGCCGCCATGGGTCTGGCGCCCCCCAGCTACTGGGAGACCATGGACGCGCCTCGGCGTCAGACAACACGCGTCCGCGGCGGCGGACCATGGCCAGAAAAAGTGGAGGATAGGAAACTCAAGGAACAGGACCTAACATTTGGGCATCCCTGGGCCCTAGGAAAATCGTTGAAATCAGGCCCCCCGAACGTCAGGTTCCATGGCGGCGTCGGCTTGTTGGGGATACTCTGCCAACAACCAGGTTCATTTGGAAAGCCACCCCATTGTGTGCAGGGGAGATCGGCAAAGTTGGAGCCAAAACAGACCCTCCCACCAATAAACATGGAACCTGACTTTCGGGGATCCCTTCAAAAGGAAAATCGTCCAAACAAGGACCCCCCGAATGTCAGGCTTGGCTTTTAATGGAAGCTCAAGGAACGCGACCAGAGATTGTTGGAGCCCCTATATTGAGAGCCATGAGTTGAAATTGGAACCACCTGCAAAATGGTTGGTACAGCAAGACAGAGCAATCCACTGACCGAAAAAGCGTTGGATACACCAAACAAGGAGACACCCCGGCAGAAAATCCTTCACGAACTCGCAAACAGGATTGCTTGTTTGTGTGAATATGGCGGAAGTTCCTCCACGCATTAGGCAATGGTTTCCTCCTTATGTATGCTTTTGCTGGACATTGTTGGACAAACACTTTGATTTTGTTGGTGTAGTTCTTAACGTTGTTATTACTCGTGTTACGTTTAACAAACACAAAAACACGTTCTGTTTTGCTTGGAAGTGATGCTTTTGTTTCCAAAACAGCATCTTTCTTGCTCTGCTCTCCTGATTTTGACCCCCGGGTTTCATCTCACGTTTTCTTGGCAAGGGTGGGAATTCTTCGGTGATGCCACGGGAAAGTATTCCCACTGACCAGCTCTGCATGGAAAGGGAGACTGAGTTCCTAGCGGTTCCTTTTTTGCGGTGTGTGTGTCGCTTGCTTGTGTGTATTAGTTGTATATTTGTTGGCATTTATATGTCTATTGGTCAGCTTTTGCAGCTGCATTTGCATATTGGCTGGGCCAATTATTTGTTTATTATGCGTGTTGGTGTTGTGTTAGTTGTTCGTGTGGGGTGCATATTGTGTTGTTTGTGTGTCCAAAGGGCACCTAGTTTCACACATGGCCGCGTGTCCTAAAATAGGGGACCCCTCAACAAATGGTTGGTTTCCCTGGTTTACTGCTGGTTTCCCTTTCAACCCAACCAATTGAGCCACAATCAAAACCCATGTAGATGGTATTCAAATCATTCAAAACCCATGGTATTTTGGAAGCCTTGAGTCATGAATTTGAACCAGCCCTCCCCTCAGCCGACTTACTCACCTTCGGAGGCGGACGGGCCGCCCTGGCGAGTGGTGGCCGCAAGCCCCGAGGAGTCGGAGGTGCTGAAGCTGGCCATGGTCTCAGGACCGGGCCGATGGGAGCCTTGTGCCTTGGGACTCGGCCATGAGGAGTTTTTGGAGCTCTCGTAAAAGTGGGGAATTCTCTTTTTTTTTTTTTTTATTGGGGTTTGTGTTTTGGGGGGGTGGTGGGGAATTGGGGGGGTGTTGGTGGGGATGGTCCAAAAGGTGGGGGGGCATTGTCCAAAAGGTGTTCTCAAAGTCCAGATGGCCCACCATCAGTAGAATCGGACTCTGTTTGGGGGATAATGCTTTCAAGAAGGTACATCGTGAAAAAAGGCCACCCTGATGAGTGCTGGCTCACTTCTCATTTGGTTCAGGGGTAAAAACGTTGGATTCGGGATGTTTGAGAATTGGCCAGGGGGATAACTCAACTGTTTGCCTCAAACCCCCAAAAGAGGCAGCTCTTTTGCAGAGAGTGAGTTTGACCTGGCAGATATGCGCGGAGCGGGGCTGCGAACACTCATTGCTCATGGCTCAGATGCTCTAAAATCGACTACTCAAAACACCGCAGACGGAAGACAAGGCGTTTAACTCGTGTGACATGGGTTGCGGGCATCCGGGCCAAATCTGGGGGGAGGGGTTGGAATTGGGCCGAACGTCGACCAAAGCAGGACACAGAGAGAAAACACACATCGCACGCATCAACTATTGGAAAAGTACAATTATCCACTGATGGTTCTGCAGGATGCAAATGTTGCCTCTGCAGCCCAGTAGCCAAGGAAAAGCCAAAAGAGACAACTCTTTTTGAGGGGTCGTCAATTTGGTTTGCTGGGTAGCCAGCGAGACTTCCTCGCACGCCTGACAGCGTGTTGCGAGACGTTCCGAGATGTTTGGAGCCCCACACAAGTCGTCCCCCAGTTTCCTTTTGCTTGATTGTTGTGTTTGTTTTCTTTGGGCGACCAGGGACGGCGTTTGGGTTCCCAAGTTTGTCAGGCTGAGGATGGGTAGGAGTCCGCCTCGGTTTTTGACCGACTTGCTTTTCCTGTCGTTTAGATGGGTGATGAGAAGTTGCTCCAACCATAATTTTGAAATTCCGCGCCAATCTGAGCCGCAGAGCGGCAAATTGCGCCTGACTTGAGACTGCTCAACAGCTCTGTCGCCATTGAGTATGCGGCCGGCCGGCCAAAAGCAGGCAAATCATAAAGGGTCAAAGAGACCGGAAACAGGCACGCGGAAACAGAGCCATGTGAGGCCACTCTTGACATGCAGTATCATGCTCTCTGATGCTTTGAGGAGCCTCGCTTGGCGGGCGTGACCAACGATCTCCGCTCACATACAAAGGACTGGGATTGAACTGCTTGTAGTCGTTTGAGAAGGGTTCAAACTGGCTGCGCATGATGAATGCGCATAGAGGTGTTCAGTCCGGCTGGCGATTGTTGCCATCATTCTTGATGAATGCCGGCGGACAGCATTCCAATATCATGCCTGGAAGAATCCTCATTTCTGAGTGTCTAAGTGTGCGTTGTTCGACCCCTAACACGGAAATGAGTGGCCACCAGTGTAAGTTGAGTTTTCTACTATCCTTGATGCAACAACCGACTTGCCTTGCTTCCCAATGAGAGAAAGAGACCCATGCAGCCATGTAGTTTGCCTCTGCGCCTTCTCGCCAGTCTCTCCAGAGGGATTCGCCATGGAGCACATGGTTCCCAACCACTTCCCAGGAAGCCTTTGGACATGAAGCCGGACAACCCCAGATTTCGGGGCAAGCGAACACAGGGTTCGGCTAAATCAGTTGGCACAACCAGGGCCCAGCCATCGTTAAAAGGGGAAAACACAGAAGGTTGGTTTGAGCATGGATGATGATATTCATCTTGACGCGACGGGTCTGCCTTAAAGCGGGGATTTAGTTGTTTGGGCAAAGACTTGGTGGTTTGAGTCGGGGCAGCTCTCGCACTGCACGGCCGCAGGCTTCGCGTTGCATGCAGCGTGGCGTGTGCAGCATGCAGGACCGGGGAGGGAAAGGCAGGGCGAGCGCCCCCCTCTTTCAAAGGCTGCGCCCAACACCAGCTGCGCTGGCTGTGGGACTTTTTTGGGGGTCCAATAATTCTCATCGCCAAAGTGTGGGCCTGTCAGCCAGAGCTGTGAGTATTGACAATGAGTTTGTGGGTGTTTGGACCTTAAACCAAAGGCAGTTAGGCCATCGCTTGCCTTGGTGTTTCGTGCTTGTTTTATGGCTGCTTTATGCCTTCCCCAAAATAGGTGCTTTCCATGGGGTTTCGCTAAAGCACCCGGACACCGGATACTCTCACAATGAGACAAACTTTCAATCACATGTCAAAACCAGACCCCCCTCGTTTTTGTTCGCTCATGAAGGGGGTCCGCACCGTCAACGCAAGCGCCATTGTTGGGGTCAGCCAACTGCCTCAGGGTTCCATCGATTCGACTCCAGGACTCTGGGGCAAGTATGCCATGGAGCGCGAGAACTTGCGGAAGAGATTTGATTGCGTACATCTCAATTGGGCAACCCTGGAGATGTCCATCTTCCCCATGCGGGTCCTCTCCAACCCTTCCCCTTAAGTTAGGGGGACGTCTTGTGAGGACAGTCTGGGGTGTCCAGTTCAACCCACAGTGATGATGTTTCTCACAAGAATGCCACAAGGGCACCAATTGCGCGTGCCCCCTACTTTTGGCGCCCAAGGTCTGAGCAAGTTTAGTTTGTGCCAAGCTCCGTCTGCAAACAAAGCGATTCCATGAGGTTTCGGCATTCTGTTGGAACAAGTTTCAGGTTCGGCGATTTGCGATACGTTGCGCCTGGTAAGGCTGACCGGGCTTGTGGATTGATCCCTTTCGGTGGTGTGAATCCAAAGTTTAGAGTTGGCTGTCACTATGTACAGGGTCTACTTTTAGAGTCACCATAGTTACCAACAAATAGGTCGCCCAATAAACATATTACCAACCAGGATTGCCCAACTCACCTGTGGCTGATTGACCATCAACTGGATTCCGGCCATTCGCAAAGTAGGCGACATCAAAGATCTGGGTGCACACATGGGTGAGTTTAAGCTGTAAACATGAACGCGCGCTATCATGAGGGTTGGTGATTTCAGGAGCAGAGCGCAACAAGGTGCAAGAGCATTGCAAGGAATTCCACATTTATGGATGCAGTTGGCAGAACTATGTTCACACTTCCTCACATGCAATGGCCCAACTTAGAGCCCAGAACTCTGAAGTTCCGCGGGAGTTGTTCAATGCTATGTGGCAGAACAACACATGCTTGTAATTCTGCTATATATCATATGATTCAATTGTGATTGACGAATTCGGAAGACTCAGGCTGATCAGATCCTTCCCTCCAGTCCATGAGCCAATCCGCGCATTGGTTGCTTGGTTGGTCGGTCGGTGGGTCGCTTGGTCGGTCAGTGGTCAGTGGGTCGGTTGGTTTGTTGCTTTGGTTGGTTGGTTGGTTGGGTCAAAATTCCCTGTATGTCCCGTTTTGGACCAGTCCAACACAAAAGGTATTCCCGCTCAGGATGCACTTACGCACAAGACATCTATCCGTCAGGTTGGGTAAGGGAGCTCTGTGCGGTGGGCTGAACATGGCTCTCTTGTCTACCAAAATCACTGGCATTGCAGATGAGCAGCGATAAAATCAGGAAACCGGAAGTTTAGGGGGTTTGCAAGCGCCACCTGGATACACAATGTATATATGTATATTGATACAATGGGGAATGATCGCAATAGAATACAATACATCATGCACAAACAACATCAAAGCAAACCCCCTGTACAGAAACCTGCCTAAGACGAAAGCGGGTGCCCCCTCCCGATTTTTTTTTTTTTTTTTTTTTTTTTTTTTTTTTATGGCGAACCCAGACTGCAGCTTAGGATCGATCTGAAGTCCTTGCCCAGCGTTGAAAGGGTGAAGCTGCGCCAAGAGTTCGCGGCTCGGCCTCACGTGAGCCACTGATCTATAGTCTATGTATAATATGGCCATAGCTTTGAACGAGTGGACACAAATCCCCACCTAAATGGTGTCCACAAAAAGGGCCCCTTATTAAAAGTCACGCCAATATGTGTTTGTTTGCACATAGGCCAACCATGGGGTCGTCCATACTTCGATATGCCATGGCTGATCAGTAATGGAAGTGAGCGTCTCCATTTAGAAGACTTGAACAGAACTAGTGGCATCCGTATGCCGAAAGGCCACCACAGGCAATCGGCAGGGCATTCGATCAGCAAATTATGTCGAGTGGGAAGTTGCCGTGTACCATCTACGACACAAGGTGCCGAGAGGTCTGGCTTAAGCCTAATTGGTACGGAAGCATCATGTTTATGGTTTTGGGACTGACGGTCGGTTCTACTTCTGATTGTGCCCACACACCTCCTCTAGCACACACTTGCTCATCTGAAAAGCCTTCCACCGGTATCACAGAAGCGGTTGCAAATCCCCTCCCTTCGAATGGCGGAAAAGCCACCCTTTGGTTTGATTCATGGTGCATGTGTACAGGTCCACGTGCACATAGCGGATAGGGGATGACGTGAATGCACATTCACCACGGGTACCCTTTTTCACGTTGGCTTCAAGGAGAACCGAAAGGAAACCACAATTTTGTCCCCCCCCCCCGCCCCACAACACATACACTTTTGCTCGCAGGGGTTGAACCCCCAGCGCGCTTTCAGGTAGATGTGGCCTCAAGGCTCCCTGCGGCGTTGGACAGCCAGCTGAACGAGGCGACAGGGCTTAAGCTGACAAAGGGGGTTCCTTGTGTTGGTTGTTTTGGGAGGGAAAATCAAAGGCCCCAGAACGAATTGGCTTGACCTTTTGGCGTTCCAGATTTGGTCTACAGGCCCCCAAGAAGTTTTTTTGAACGGCATGTTGCAGCTCCACCTATCTCGATCCTTCTTTTGCGGAGTGACTACTTGGATCCCCTGATGCTTTGCGTTAAACCTGTGCTTGCCTCCACAACAGTGCCTGCCCACTCTGAGGGCAACCTTACATTTGCTTAAGAATACTGTTGACTTTCCAACTGATGGTTTGAAAGGGAATCTGTCACTGCTGGAAATATTGTGTCTGAAGCATGTAGGCTTGATCACTACAAAGCGGGCAAGAGGGATGTTACGGCAGGGGGCTCGCTTTCGCCTCAAGATTGAATCACTTTTGCACCCAAAGAGCAACAACACAGAAACAAACACGAGGAAAGCTACGATTTCCCTTTCGGAGATTGGATAAGTTTCGCCAAGAGGATCAAACTGTAGTGACTGTCACAAGAGTCGACGGATCGACTGCCACACTGCCATGGGATCACTTTCGCCACCTTCAGAGTGGAGTGCTCTTTGGGGAAATTTGTCGGAGCTGTGCTTATATATGTGTTGCCGCCAAAGAGATTCAACATATGTATCCATACGCACCTCGAGCGGATTGCGGCAAAGCCATCCAAACACAATTTCTGGCTGTGGAGCAGATATACTCTAACATGGAAGTGGGCGGTTAAGTGGTTTGGCTGACATGGGACCTGCCCGGAAAGCTCATCCTTCCGGGTGAGCGTCATCCCCTTGAACAATGCAGCGTTTCTCAAAAACCAGCCTGCTTTCTGAACCTCAGCCCCAGCCAGGTTCTCAAAAGTCAGGCACCTCCCAATGGCTAAAAGGGGTTGTCGCCCCGGCCGGTCGCCCCCCAAAACCAGACGTTCCGGCTGGCCGTTCGTCACCTAGGTGTTCCTGTCGCATGGCACCCGGCCCGAGAGCGTGGGACCCGGCCTTGTCGCGAAGTCTCAAAAAATGTACCAAAATGGCTGTGGGTCAATATCCAAATCGCACCCCCAGTGAATATCCCAATCCAACCACTAAAATGGACTAGAATGGGTGGTGCACCGAAAACCCCCAAAATGGTACCATTGGTTTTGACCCACAGCCAAATGGCACCTTTGTAAATGGAACCTAAGACTAAAACCTGCGTAACCCTAGCTCTTGAATTTTGAGCCACACAGCCACATCCGTCTCTCTCAGTTTCTCTGTGGGTGCGAACTGAAATGGATTCTTGGATTGCCATACCCAAAATTCAAGGGTCCCTTTCTTGTTCACTGGGCAACTGGGGAAAGAACAATGCCTTGCCTCCCTATTTGTTCCAGTGTGTTTTCCAATAAACATGAAGAAAACAAAGACAGCGCCAATTCCTAAAACATCCAACAGCTCGTCGGACCATTGGGATGGTTTTGACGAATCTGACGAGCCATCAACACAAATCTGCACACATTATAGCGACCTCGTCAAGGCGTTTGCGACCCCACAAGGTTGAAGGTTTCTTTCTTGTGGGTCCATGTCTTGTTTCAGGCTGCTGATAGGTTAGTTCTGTCCCCAGGCCTACCAATCCGTGCCAAAGCTAAACCACGGCCAAGCACCCCGAGAGAGGGGGGGCTGAGCTGAAGTCAGGCATTCTGGCGATCCTGAGCGGTGGCCTCAACGAGCGGTTCAGCGGGGGCCTCTTCGGCAATGGCACCTACCTGGCTGAGGCGCGCGTCGACCTGATCGGGGGCAAGGGCCAGAGTGTGAGGTGCCAACAGCACACCCAATGGCTCTTAAAAGGAACGCAGCAGCAAAGCACTTAGGGCCACTGCGTAAACATTGCTGGGGGTTCCTGGAACACCGCTTGATGTACAGGCGACTTAGAGTCGCACCATGATTGAGGGACAAAGTGGTTCCAAAGCATGCTGTATTTAGAAGACTTTTGCAGGCAGTGCCTTGATTTGGGTTGTGTCTAATTGTGTCTAACTCAGAATCACCCGCATTCCTTTGGTTTCCCTTTAAAACAACCCCAAAAGGCTACCCTGAAAGAACAGACCCGGTTTAACCAAGAAACTGTGGAAAGAGCAAGCCCGATTCTTACTCTCCGCTTTGTGACTGGTCGAAAATTGTCCAAGCAGGAACATTGATATGGTGTCCCAACTAGGAAACTCCATGAATGTTTGGCGCTCTGTTGCAACACCGCTGGGTATCCAGTTACCTCCCCCCCCCCAGTTAGCCACCCTGTCAACCCTTCAATCCCTTCCTCCAAGACCTAAGTCAATTTTACCACGAAAAGTGATGCGGTGCCGGAAAATGTTGCAGTTGTCATGTGAAGTTTGTGATTTCCAGGATGGGGTGCACCGATTTGATTTTAGTGCCTCCGGCTCAGGCCGCCGACATTACAGGCCTGCTTTCTTATTTGCGTCCCTTTGGAATTGTCCCCTTGCCCCCTTCCCCTCTGAGATTTTTGCCCCCCTTTCTTTGTTGAGATCCATTCCCCCTTTCCGCCCTAAGGCCTTTTCTCCCTCTGTTTTTTTCCCTTTTCCTCCCTAAGATGTTTTCACCCCTCTCCCTGTTGAGATCCTTTCCCCCCTTTCCCCCCTAAGGCCTTTTCCCCCCTGAGATCTTCTCCCTTTGCCTCCCTAAGATCTCCCAGATCGTCTCCCCTTTCCTCCCTAAGATCTTCCCCCCCTTTCCTCCTTAAGATCTTTCCCACCCTTTCCCTGTTGAGATCCTTTCCCCCCTTTCCCTCCCAAGGCCTTCCCCCCCCCCCATGAGAGCTTCTCCCTGTTCCTTCCTAAGATCTTTTCCCCCCTTTCCCTGTTGGGCTTCCCCCCCTAAGTCCTTTTCTCCCAGATCTTCTCCCTTTCCTCCCTAAGATCTTCCCCCCCCTTTCCTTCCTAAGATTGTTTCCCCCCTTTCCCTGTTGAGATCCTTCCCACCCTTTCCCCCTGAGGCCTTTCCCCCCCTGAGAGCTTCTCCTTCCTTAGATCTTTCCCCCCTGTCCCTGTTGGCCTTTTTTCCCCCAGATCTTCTCCCTTTCCTCCCTAAGATCTTTCCCCCCCTTTCCCTGCTCAGATCCTTTCCCCCCTTTCCCCCCTAAGGCCTTTCCCCCCCTGAGATCTTCTCCCTTTTCCTCCCTAAGATCTTTTGCAATTTTTCCCTGTTGAGATCCATCCCCCCTTTCCCCCCTAAGGCCCTTTCTCCCTCTGAGTTTTTCCCTTTTCCTCCCCACGATGTTTTCCCCCCTCTCCCTGTTGAGATCCTTTCCCTCCTTTCCCCCCTAAGGCCTTTTTTCCCCCTGCGATCTTCCCCCTTTTCCTTCCTAAGATCTTTTCCCCCCCTTGTTGAGATCCTTTCCCGCCCTTTCCCCCCTAAGGCGTTTTCCCCCCCAAGATCTTCTCCCTTTTCCTCCCTAAGATCCTTTGCCCCCTTTCCCTGTTGAGATCCTTTCCCCCCTTTCCCCCCTAAGGCCTTCCCCCCCCCTGAGATCTTCTCCCTTGTCCTCCCCAAGATCTTTTCCCCCGAGATCTTCTCCCTTTTCCTCCCTAGGATCTTCTCCCACCTTTCCCTGTTGAGCTCCTTTCCCCCTTTTCCCCCTAAGGCCTTTTCAGATCTTCTCCCTTTTCCTCCCTGAGATCCTTTGCCCCCTGTCCCTGTTGAGATCCTTTCCCCCTTTCCCCCCTAAGGCCTTTTCCCTGCCTGGGACCTTCTCCCTTTTTCACTGAGATCTTTCCCCCCCTTTCCCTGTTGAGATCCTTTCCCCTCTTTCCCCCCTACGGCCTTTCCCCCCGCTGAGATCTTCTTCCTATTCCTCCTTAAGAACCTTTGCCCCCTTTCCCTGTTGAGATCCTTTCCCCCCTTCCCTTTAAGGCCTTTCCAGATCTTCTCCCTTTCCTTCCTAAGATTGTTTCCCCCCTTTCCCTGTTGAGATCCTTCCCACCCTTTCCCCCCTCAGGCCTTTCCCCCCCCCTGAGAGCTTCTCCCTTTTCCTTCCTTAGGTCTTTCCCCCCTTTCCCTGTTGGCCTTTTTTCTCCCAGATCTTCTCCCTTTCCGCCCTAAGATCTTTTCCACCCCTTTCCCTGTTGAGATCATTTCTCCCCTTTCCCCCCTAAGGCCTTTGTCCCCAGATCTTCTCCCTTTCCTCCCTAAGATCTTCCCCCCCCCCCCCCTTCCCCTGCTGAGATCCTTTTCCCCCTTTCCCCCCTAAGGCCTTTCCCCCCCCTGAGAGCTTCTCCCTTTTCCTTCCTAAATCTTTTCCCCCCTTTCCCTGTTGGGCTTTCCCCCCCAAAGTCCTTTTCTCCCAGATCTTCTCCCTTTCCTCCCTAAGATCTTCCCCCCCCTCTTTCCTCCCTAAGATCTTTCCCACCCTTTCCCTGTTGAGATCCTTTCCCCCCTTTCCCTCCCAAGGCCTTTCCCCCCCTGAGAGCTTCTCGCTTTTCCTTCCTAAGATCTTTTCCCCCCTTTCCCTGTTGGCCTTTTTTCCCCAGATCTTCTCCCTTTCCTCCCGAAGATCTTTTCCACCCCTTGCCCTGTTGAGATCATTTCTCCCCTTTCCCCCCTAAGGCCTTTTTGCCCCAGATCTTCTGCCTTTCCTCCCTAAGATCTTTCCCCCCCCCCCAGTTCCTTGTTGAGATCATTTATTTCCCCCCTTTTCCTTCTAAGGCCTTTTCCCACCCTCAGTTCTTCTCCCTTTTCCTCCCAAAGATCTTTCCCCCCCTTTCCTCCCTAAGTCCTTTTCCCTGAGTTCGTCTCCCTTTGCCTCCCTAAGATCTCTTCCCCCCTTTCCCGCTTAAGATCCTTGCCCCCGTTTCCCCCCTAAGGCCTTTTCCCCCCAAGATCTCCACCCTTCTCTTCCCAAAGTTTTTTTCTCTCTTTCCCGATTGAGATCCTGTCCCCCGATTGCCCCTTAGGGCCTGTTCCCCCCGAGAAAGATTTCCCTTTTCCTCCCAAAGATCTTTTCCCCCCTTTCCCCCTTAAGGCATTTTTTCCCCAGATCTTCTCCCTTTCCTCCCTGAGATCTTTCCCCCCCTTTCGCTGTTGAGATCCTTTCCCCCTTTCCCCCCTTCATTTCCTTCACCAGCATGGGCAACATCCCCAGCATCACTTGCATCATCCGCATCCTTGGCAGGCGCTGACGCGGATGATGCAGGTGATGCTGGCGATGTGCCGCTGGAGCTGCTAAGGATGCGAAAGCGCACCCGGGGGGAATCGAACACCCCAATGTTTTTGACAAACTGAGTTGCGCAAGCCCGCACAATGAACAGATTTAGTGAAGCGTCTTCGAATCACCGCGTGGTACGTGGACCCCCCCCCCCCCCCGCAATAGTCTGGAATGCTGCCCCTGGAGCAGGTAAAGAGGTAAGGAGCATTTCTTATGTCCAACATCCACCCCTTGCCCTGTTGAGATTATTTCTCCTCTTTCCCCCCTACAGACCTTTTTGCCCCAGATCTGCTGCCTTTCCTGCCTAAGATCTTTCCCCCCCCCCAGTTCCTTGTTGAGATCATTTATTTCCCCCCTTTTCCTTCTAAGGCCTTTTCCCACCCTCAGTTCTTCTCCCTTTTCCTCCCAAAGATCTTTCCCCCCCTTTCCTCCCTAAGTCCTTTTCCCTGAGTTCGTCTCCCTTTGCCTCCCTAAGATCTCTTCCCCCCTTTCCCGCTTAAGATCCTTGCCCCCGTTTCCTCTTCCCAAAGTTTTTTTCTCTCTTTCCCGATTGAGATCCTGTCCCCCGATTGCCCCTTAGGGCCTGTTCCCCCCGAGAAAGATTTCCCTTTTCCTCCCAAAGATCTTTTCCCCCCTTTCCCCTAAAGGCATTTTTTCCCCAGATCTTCTCCCTTTCCTCCCTGAGATCTTTCCCCCCCTTTCGCTGTTGAGATCCTTTCCCCCTTTCCCCCCTTCATTTCCTTCACCAGCATAGGCAACATCCCCAGCATCACTTGCATCATCCGCATCCTTGGCAGGCGCTGACGCGGATGATGCAGGTGATGCTGGCGATGTGCCGCTGGAGCTGCTAAGGATGCGAAAGCGCACCCGTGGGGAATCGAACACCCCAATGTTTTTGACAAACTGAGTTGCGCAAGCCCGCACAATGAACAGATTTAGTGAAGCGTCTTCGAATCACCGCGTGGTACGTGAACCCCCCCCCCACCCCCGCAATAGTCTGAAATGCTGCCTGGGGAGGGGTTAGGGGAGGGGTAACAGGTAAAGAGGTAAGGAGCATTTCTTATGTTTTCCCCCCCCTTGTTAAGATCATTTATTTCCCCCCTTTTCCTTCTAAGGCTTTTTCCCACCCTCAGTTCTCCTCCCTTTTCCTCCCAAAGATCTTTCCACCCCTTTCCTCCCTAAGTCCTTTTCCCTGAGTTCGTCTCCCTTTGCCTCCCTAAGATCTCTTCCCCCCTTTCCCGCTTAAGATCCTTGCCCCCGTTTCCCCCCTAAGGCCTTTTCCCCCCAAGATCTCCACCCTTCTCTTCCCAAAGTTTTTTCTCCCTTTCCCGATTGAGATCCTGTCCCCCGATTGCCCCTTAGGGCCTGTTCCCCCCGAGAAAGATTTCCTTTTTCCTCCCAAAGATCTTTTCCCCCCTTTCCCCCTTAAGGCATTTTTTTCCCCAGATCTTCTCCCTTTCCTCCCTGAGATCTTTCCCCCCCTTTCCCCCTTTCCCCCCCTTCATTTCCTTCACCAGCATTAGGCAACATCCCCAGCATCACTTACATCATCCGCATCCTTGGCAGGCGCTGATGCGGATGATGCAGGTGATGCTGGCGATGTGCCGCTGGAGCTGCTAAGGATGCGAAAGCGCACCCGGGGGGAATCGAACACCCCAATGTTTTTGACAAACTGAGTTGCGCAAGCCCGCACAATGAACAGATTTAGTGAAGCGTCTTCGAATCACCGCGTGGTACGTGGACCCCCCCCCCCCGCAATAGTCTGAAATGCTGCCCCTGAAAAGGGGTTAGGGGAGGGGTAACAGGTAAAGAGGTAAGGAGCATTTCTTATGTCCAACATCCACCCCTTGCCCTGTTGAGATCATTTCTCCTCTTTCCCCCCTAAAGGCCTTTTTGCCCCAGATCTTTTGCCTTTCCTCCCTAAGATCTTTCCCCCCCCCCAGTTCCTTGTTGAGATCATTTATTTCCCCCCTTTTCCTTCTAAGGCCTTTTCCCACCCTCAGTTCTTCTCCCTTTTCCTCCCAAAGATCTTTCCCCCCCTTTCCTCCCTAAGTCCTTTTCCCTGAGTTCGTCTCCCTTTGCCTCCCTAAGATCTCTTCCCCCCTTTCCCGCTTAAGATCCTTGCCCCCGTTTCCCCCCTAAGGCCTTTTCCCCCCAAGATCTCCACCCTTCTCTTCCCAAAGTTTTTTTCTCTCTTTCCCGATTGAGATCCTGTCCCCCGATTGCCCCTTGGGGCCTGTTCCCCCCGAGAAAGATTTCCCTTTTCCTCCCAAAGATCTTTTCCCCCCCTTCCCCCTTAAGGCATTTTTTCCCCAGATCTTCTCCCTTTCCTCCCTGAGATCTTTCCCCCCCTTTCGCTGTTGAGATCCTTTCCCCCTTTCCCCGGGTAACAGGTAAAGAGGTAAGGAGCATTTCTTATGTCCAACACGCCGCCTGTTGTCGGCGGATACTTCACATCACCAGTCAGCTATGCCACGGATTTGTAGTGATCGATGAAGCTCAAATGAAGCCTGGCCTCAGGACATCGGGAAGAACGACCAGTACTGCACGTCAGCAGCTCAGGGTTGAGTCTCGGGTTTCCTGGCGAAGCTACGGTGCCAAAGGAGTCCCTGGCTTGACACATGAGCTTTTTCCGAGAAGACATTGTATATCGCTTCCGGAAATAGAGGACCAGTAGAACAGCTTGCTTTTTTGCTCTGTCTTTTAATCCCGTCCCGAGGAAAGATCCCTATTGCTGCAGCAAGCTCATGAGAGATGATTAATTTACCGGCCTGCTGTTAGGCTAGTCAAAATAGCCGCAGGCATTTTCTAGTTTAAGCAGCTCAACTCTTTGTTTCTGAAGGGGAGTGGGGAGCCAACTTTCAGCATGCGACTCAGAACGCTGCTTGCCTTTGTCGAGACTAGACCGAGCAGGAAACAAGTGACCGTGTCAGGAACATGAGTCAGGAAATGGACAGGGGCGAGTCAAGAAACAACTAGAGGCAAGTCAAGAAAAGCAAGTTATAGATATTAAGACAACAGGAAACGTGAGTCAGGAAACGTGGAAGCGTGGTCAGGAAACGCGATTCAGGAATGTTGTGGCTAGTGCTTTTTGAATTTGCGGTGATGCTGGGGATGCAAGTCTTGCACTGCGTGCTTTGCGCTCTGCGGCGTGCTTTGTGCATTGTTCTGTGATATCGTCATGGCTCGGATCAAGGAGCAACCTAGTGCGCAAAGCTGTTCACACCAGGAGAGAGGGGAGACATGGGGCGACATGTGTGATGCTTTCTGTAGTCCAAAGACTTTGTGTTTTGCGCTCTGCCGTTTGCTGTGTGCATTGTTCCTTGATATCGTCTTGGCCCAGATCAAGGAACAGCCTTGCGTTTTTTAGGGTTTAGATTTAGGGCTTTAGAGTTTAGGTTTAGGGTTTTAGGTTCAGGTTCATGGCGCCTAGGGTTTAGGTTTAGGGCTCCTTTGGGTTAGGTTTAGGTTTCAAGGTTAGGTTTAGGTTTCAAGGGCTCAGTTCAGGGTTCTTAGGGTTTAGGTTTCGGTTTTTAGCGTCTATAACGAAGTTGGGGGGGTGCAGCCCCCCGCAGAGAAAACAGGGTTGGGGGGGGCCGCGTTTGGAAAACAAATAGAGACAGTAATGAAGAAAGTGCGCGGTTACAAATAGGGATCACGAAACTGAACAACGGCCCTACAAAGAAGCAGGGGAGGAACAAGACACTAATGGAACAAATGCGCGAATACAAACGCGAATCAACGTTGGCATATAACGAAGCGGGGAAGCCGAACAACGTCCCTAGCACCACCCCGACGCGCTGTCCGTTTGTTTCCACGTCGTTTCCTGCCTCACCCTTGACCTGGACCAACCCGTGTTTTGACTTTGTCCAACCTGTTTCCTGACTCTGTTTCCTGACTCGCCCCTTATGCTGCCTTGTCTTTACCAAAGCTGTGGAGGCCTCAAGAAGAATCAGTCTCAACTTGAATTCAAGCAGTTTTTCCCTAAGGCTATCACTGCCACGGCCTGCGCCGATGTTTAAACAAGCCGCCTGTGCTAGAACACGCATGTCCACATGACACGGTCCACATGCTAGGCAAACGCCAGCACACATGACAAAACAAGCACATCTGCCCGATCCTAGTTGGATTGTGTAGCGTAGACAATTGGAGTCATCCCTGTTGAAGTGTGAAGTCATTGTTCCAAACATATGGCCCCTAGATATACAGAAGGGTCGGTCATGGGGACTGAGTTTTGGCACAGCGGTAAAACAGCACAAAGCCTCGAGAAAAAAACAAAAGCAAACAATTGCGGTCCCCATGGGCCCCTCATCACCTCAAGATGGGGACCCCAGAACATTGGGCTTGCAATTTTGGTTATTTTGGGTTGTTTGGTTTTCCCGAGGTTTTTGCACTTTTCCAAAAGACCAACACAAAACTCGGGAAAACCAAAAAGAAAAGAGCAAAAAAAACATGTCAGAAGCTAACTCAGCCAGCATGGATACATGGGGTCTGACATTTTTGTGTTGTTTTCTCGAGGTTTGTGCAGTTTTCCAAAAGACAAAAAAACCTCGAGAAAACCGAAGAAACACAAAATGTCACAGCCTAACTCAGCCATCATGGATACATGGGGTCTGACATTCTTTTCTCCTGTAGGTTTTCGCACTTTCAAAAACTAGACGACGAGTGGCCCGGAAGCATAGAGGCAAGTTGATGCAGGTGAGGTAACTCTCGCAAAGTTAGCATGAGGAGTTGGCAGGCGAAGTAATTCTCAAAAAGTTGGCATGAGAAGCTGGCAGGTTAAGTAACTCTCGAATAGTTGGCTGGCAAAGTTGGCGGGTGAAGTAATTCTCGCAAAGTTGACATGAGAAGTTGGCAGGCGAAGTAACTCAAGAGAAAAGTTGGCATGAGAAGTTGGCAGGTGAAATAACTCTCAAAGAGTTGGCATGAGAAGTTGGCAGGTGAAGTAACTCTCGAAAAGTTGGCGTGAGAAGCTGGCAGGTGAAGTAATTCTCGAAAAGTTGGCACGAGAAGATGGCGCGTGAAGTAACTCTCGAAAAGTTGGCGTGAGAAGCCGGCAGGTGAAGTAACTTTCGAAAAGTTAGCATGAGAAGTTGGCAGGCGAAGTAATTCTCGAAAAGTTGGCGCGAGAAGTTGGCAGGCGAAGTAACTCTCGAAAAGTTGGCAGGCGATGTTGGCAGGTGAAGTACCTCTCGAAAAGTTGGCATGAGAAGCTGGCAGGTGAAGTAATTTTTCGATCAGTTGCCACGAGAGGTTGGCAGATAAAGTATTTCTCGAAAAGTTGGCATGAGAAGTTGGCAGGTGAAGTAATTCTCGAAAAGTTGGCAGGTGAAGTTGCCACGAGAGGTTGGCAGGTAAGTATTTCTCGAAAAGTTGGCATGAGAAGTTGGCAGGTAAAGTAATTCTCGAAAAGTTGGCATGAGAAGCTCGCAGGTGTAGTAACTCTCGAAAAGTTGGCATGATAAGCTCGCAGGTGAAGTAACTCCTCGAAAAGTTGGCACGAGAAGTTGGCAGGTGAAGTAACTCTCGAAAAGGTGGCATGAGAAGCTGGCAGGTGAAGTAATTCTCGAAGTTTCGGCATGAGAAACTGGCAGGTGAAGTAATTAACCCTCAAAAAGCTGGAGCGGCGGAGGCGCTCCGCGTGCTACATTTGCAATTTACAGTTGCGATTTTCCAGCCATTTGTATCTAAAAGTTGCGATTTTCCAGCCGGAGCTGCGGGAGCACGCTCCGCGTACTACGTCTGTACTTAAAAAGTGCGATTTTCCAGCCGGAGCTGCAGCAGCCTCCGCGTACTACGTCTGTACTTAAAAGTTGCGATTTCCAGCCGGAGCTGCGGGTCACGTTTCGCTTAAAAGCTGCGATGTTCGAAGCCGGAGCTGCCGCGACCAGGGGGAATCGAACCCGCGACCGCGGGATTGCGAAAGCAGGCGTGCAAACCACGAGACAACTTCCAAAGGCCGTTTCGCGAGCAAGAAATTCGCACGGCGCCACAGCGAGAGCGCTTCGACACGCACGATCTCCGCAGAGGGTTCGCCAAGGTCAAGACAAATTCGCACGGCGCCACAGCGAGAGCGCTTCGACACGCACGATCTCCGCAGAGGGTGCGCCAAGGTCAAGCAAATTCGCACGGCGCCACAGCGACAGCGCTTCGACACGCGAAATCTCCGCAGAGGGTTCGCCAAGGTCAAGACAGATTCGCACGGCGCCACAGCGAGAGCGCTTGGACACGCACGATCTCCGCAGAGGGTTCGCCGCGACCAAGACAAATTCGCACGGCGCCACAGCGAGAGCGCTTCGACACGCAGGATCTCCGCAGAGGGTTCGCCAAGGTCAAGACAAATTCGCACGGCGCCACAGCGAGAGCGCTTCGACACGCACGATCTCCGCAGAGGGTTCGCCGAGATCAAGACAAATTCGCACGGCGCCACAGCGAGAGCGCTTCGACACGCACGATCTCCGCAGAGGGTTCGCCAAGGTCAAGACAAATTCGCACGGCGCCACAGCGAGAGCGCTTCGACACGCACGATCTCCGCAGAGGGTTCGCCGCGACCAAGACAGATTCGCACGGCGCCACAGCGAGAGCGCTTCGACACGCACGATCTCCGCAGAGGGTTCGCGGGCTCAAGACAAATTCGCACGGCGCCACAGCGAGAGCGCTTCGACACGCACGATCTCCGCAGAGGGTTCGCCGCGCTCAAGACAAATTCGCACGGCGCCACAGCGAGAGCGCTTCGACACGCACGATCCCCGCAGAGGGTTCGCCAAGGTCAAGACAAATTCGCACGGCGCCACAGCGAGAGCGCTTCGACACGCACGATCTCCGCAGAGGGTTCGCCGGCTCAAGACAAATTCGCACGGCGCCACAGCGAGAGCGCTTCGACACGCACGATCTCCGCAGAGGGGTGCGTTTCGTAAGCTCCTGTCGGGCCTACCCCCGCCAGAAAAAGAAGAAGAATTAAGAGTCGAGAAGTGAAGGTAGAACAGAAAAGTTAGCTTGTGTTTTTAGGATAGTGAAGTAACACCCGACAAATTAGCTTGTGCTTTTAGTAGAATGAGATAACAGCCGAAAAGTTGACATGAGAAGTTGGCAGGCAAAAAGTTGACATGAGAAGTAGGCAGGTGAAGTAACTCTCGACAAGTTGGCATGAGAAGTTGGCAGGTGAAGTAACTCTCGACAAGTTGGCATGAGAAGTTGGCAGGTGAAGTAACTCTCGACAAGTTGGCATGAGAAGTTGGCAGGTGAAGTAACTCTCGACAATTTGGCATGATAAGTTGGCAGGTGACATAACTCTCGAAAAGTTGGCAGGTTAAGTTGGCGTGAGAAGTTGGCAGGTGATGAAGTTGGCATGAGAAGTTGGCAGGTGAAGTAACTCTCGAAATAACTCTCGAAAAGTTGGCATGAGAAGTTGGCAGGTGAAGTTTGCAGCCGCTTTTAGAAGAAGAACCCTTCGCAATGCTTCCGGGAACAAACTAGACGACGAGTGGCCCGGAAGCATAGAGGCAAGTTGATGCAGGTGAGGTAACTCTCGCAAAGTTAGCATGAGGAGTTGGCAGGCGAAGCAATTCTCAAAAAGTTGGCATGAGAAGCTGGCAGGTTAAGTAACTCTCGAATAGTTGGCTGGCAAAGTTGGCGGGTGAAGTAATTCTCGCAAAGTTGACATGAGAAGTTGGCAGGCGAAGTAACTCAAGAGAAAAGTTGGCATGAGAAGTTGGCAGGTGAAATAACTCTCAAAGAGTTGGCATGAGAAGTTGGCAGGTGAAGTAACTCTCGAAAAGTTGGCGTGAGAAGCTGGCAGGTGAAGTAATTCTCGAAAAGTTGGCACGAGAAGATGGCGCGTGAAGTAACTCTCGAAAAGTTGGCGTGAGAAGCCGGCAGGTGAAGTAACTTTCGAAAAGTCTGCATGAGAAGTTGGCAGGCGAAGTAATTCTCGAAAAGTTGGCGCGAGAAGTTGGCAGGCGAAGTAACTCTCGAAAGGTTGGCAGGCGATGTTGGCAGGTGAAGTACCTCTCGAAAAGTTGGCATGAGAAGCTGGCAGGTGAAGTAATTTTGCGAAAAGTTGCCACGAGAGGTTGGCAGATAAAGTATTTCTCGAAAAGTTGGCATGAGAAGTTGGCAGGTGAAGTAATTCTCGAAAAGTTGGCAGGTGAAGTTGCCACGAGAGGTTGGCAGGTAAAGTATTTCTCGAAAAGTTGGCATGAGAAGTTGGCAGGTAAAGTAATTCTCGAAAAGTTGGCATGAGAAGCTCGCAGGTGTAGTAACTCTCGAAAAGTTGGCATGATAAGCTCGCAGGTGAAGTAACTCCTCGAAAAGTTGGCACGAGAAGTTGGCAGGTGAAGTAACTCTCGAAAAGGTGGCATGAGAAGCTGGCAGGTGAAGTAATTCTCGAAGTTTCGGCATGAGAAACTGGCAGGTGAAGTAATTAACCCTCAAAAAGCTGGAGCGGCGGAGGCGCTCCGCGTGCTACATTTGCAATTTACAGTTGCGATTTTCCAGCCATTTGTATCTAAAAGTTGCGATTTTCCAGCCGGAGCTGCGGGAGCACGCTCCGCGTACTACGTCTGTACTTAAAAAGTGCGATTTTCCAGCCGGAGCTGCAGCAGCCTCCGCGTACTACGTCTGTACTTAAAAGTTGCGATTTTCCAGCCGGAGCTGCAGGAGCACGCTCCGCGTACTACGTTTGTACTTAAAAGCTGCGATTTTCAAGCCGGAGCTGCCGCGGACCAGGGGGGAATCGAACCCGGGACCGCGGGATTGCGAAAGCAGGCGCGCACACCACGAGACAACTTCCAAAAGCCGTTTCGCGAGCAAGAAAATCGCACGGCGCCACAGCGAGAGCGCTTCGACACGCACGATCTCCGCAGAGGGTTCATCGGGCTCAAGACAGATGCGCACGGCGCCACAGCGAGAGCGATCCGACACGCACGATCCCCGCAGAGGGTTCATCGGGCTCAAGACAAATTCGCACGGCGCCACAGCGAGAGCGCTTCGACACGCAGGATCTCCGCAGAGGGTTCGCCAAGGTCAAGACAAATTCGCACGGCGCCACAGCGAGAGCGCTTCGACACGCACGATCTCCGCAGAGGGTTCGCCGCGACCAAGACAGATTCGCGCGGCGCCACAGCGAGAGCGCTTCGACACGCACGATCCCCGCAGAGGGTTCATCGGGCTCAAGACAAATTCGCACGGCGCCACAGCGAGAGCGCTTCGACACGCACGATCTCCGCAGAGGGTTCGCCGGCTCAAGACAAATTCGCACGGCGCCACAGCGAGAGCGCTTCGACACGCACGATCTCCGCAGAGGGTTCGCCGCGCTCAAGACAAATTCGCACGGCGCCACAGCGAGAGCGCTTCGACACGCACGATCCCCGCAGAGGGTTCATCGGGCTCAAGACAAATTCGCACGGCGCCACAGCGAGAGCGCTTCGACACGCACGATCTCCGCAGAGGGGTGCGTTTCGTAAGCTCCCGTCGGGCCTACCCCCGCCATAAAAAGAAGAAGAATTAAGAGTCGAGATGTGAAGGTAGAACAGAAAAGTTAGCTTGTGTTTTTAGGATAGTGAAGTAACACCCGACAAATTAGCTTGTGCTTTTAGTAGAATGAGATAACAGCCGAAAAGTTGACATGAGAAGTTGGCAGGTGAAGTAACTCTCAAAAAGTTGACATGAGAAGTAGGCAGGTGAAGTAACTCTCGACAAGTTGGCATGAGAAGTTGGCAAGTGAAGTAACTCTCGACAAGTTGGCATGAGAAGCTGGCAGGTGAAGTAACTCTCGACAAGTTGGCATGAGAAGTTGGCAGGTGAAGTTGGCAGCCGCTTTTAGAAGAAGAACCCTTCGCAATGCTTCCGGGAAAAACACATCCTCGAGAACAACAAGCAAATGTCAGACCCTGACTTAGCCAGCATGGACAGATAGGGTCTGATTTTTTGGGTTTTGTAAAAGTTGTTTGCACTGTGCCAAAAACGCACAAAAAAAAGGCTCGAGAAACCCAAACAAATGTCAGACCCTAACTCACCCAGCATGGATACATAGGGTCTGAAACTTTGTCGGTTTTTGTGTTTTTTGGTTTTTCGTTTTGGTTTAAGGTTGGTGTCAGCAAGAAGAAACACATATCCGCAAGAAGGAAACATTGCCCATCGTGGCCTGGGCATTTCACTTGCCAACCGCAACCGAGTTCTATTCAAATGGACTGAAAGAAACAGCCAGCGTGTCGTTCCTTAGCATATTATTTGGAATATAGCTAAAATCTAGTTAAACTCCTAGATACTTGAAAACACAATCCCATCTAATGTCTGATTCAAAACAATAACTATAATTAATTGAATAAGATAAAAGAAGCTACCAGCTTGTCATTCCTTGCTAAATTATCGTTATACACTTGTCAATTAAAAGTTATAGTTGGGAGAAAAAAAACACACATTTAGATTTTGGAAGGAATTCCCGCTTACAATAAACTTAAAATAATAAAACAAGCATATAACTAACATCTACTTGAAATCATATTTGGATAAGATCCCATTACGCATCTAAACTCACAATTAATATCAAGGTGTTCCAATTAACTTCTAATTGGAATCCTGCTTGGAAGGGACGTGCCTACTAAAATCCAGGTCAAGAAGATGCAGTGAAGTCTTGAAACAAGCTCCACAACGAATCCATTGATCGCAAAAAGGCCACACACTTGAACAAGCAGGACAGTACATTGCGTCCCCTCTATCCATTGCATCTGCTCACTTTCAGTCTTTGCTATCGCTACAAATACAGGAAAGTGCAACTTGTAGAAAAGCAATGTCAAAAATACACGCAAAAACAAGCATGAAAAAAACAATGCAACCCTTGCCACGAGCCGCCGCTCTCCAGAAGGGCACCTCATGGGGGATGGTTTTTTGAAACACAGGGTTTTGGTGGTTGTTTGCGTATGGTTCCTTTGTACTTTCAAAACAACAACCTCAAGAAAACCAGAAACAATCTTTGAACACAAAAAGGAAAGAACAAAGAAACAAGTATGTCAGACCCTAACTTCATCCTGGAACATGTCTTACAGTCACAAAGATCATTATCTCTTCTTCTGTGAAGGTCAAATGTCCTGCAAGTCCTAAACATGACACTTTCACGCCTCCCGGCCCCATGGCCGGCCGCTCTCTAGAAATATTGGTTTAAAGGCGTTGCGTCCGCATGTGTTCATTATCACAAAAACCACCGCGCAACTGCATACATCTGACTGAGTCACGCACATGTTGTTTGGGGCTTCGCGCAGGCAACAATTGCAACACAAGTTCTTCCGCTTTTCGTTTTCGGGGCACTCCGAATCACAGAAAAGTCAATCAGCTCTGATTGAACCCGAGCAATGGCGCTTTTTGTCACCTGGTAGTCATCCTGTCTGAAGGACCGACGAGTTATAGATAGAAACATCTCTCGGCAAGTGCCCTCAGACTGCCTAGGATTAACCAAGGGGATACTCGAACTTGTGGAAATCCCCATCTGAGTCAAGATGCAAACCTTCGATGACAACCTTATCCGCTGAATCTTTACTCTTTTGGGCATACTCCTTTACCAGGTGTTGATTGAATCGGGTCGCGCTTGGGTTTTCCTCAGTGTTTCCTGAACATGCCCATTGTTCCCACAGGGTTGCATCTCCGCCAGACCGGACAAGAGCTTGGGCGAGCACAAGGTGCGGATTCCTCGAATCGTGAGCTCGTGCTTTTGATGGAAAGCCATTGGCAACAGAGTACACCGCAGGGCCAGGACATACGGGTGGTTGAGTTCACAAATACACAGGGCCATAGGGCGTTGGAAAATAAGGTCGATGAGTTCAAACGAGTGCGGGGTTCGAGAACGAGGTGGGAGCACGTGATCATTCAACCATGCAGCAAACATCGACCGTGGCTCATATAGAACATTAATATGTTGTATAGCAATATGAATGTTGTGGCTGTTCCAAACTTGTTGAAGATATGTGGAATGTCGAGTTGGTTGACGATGGAAGGATCAACAGCAGCACAAGCAGTGACGGTTCCTCTCAATAAAGAAAGGCAGTTCTGCCACAGACACACACCTGAATGCATCGAGGCGAGTGTCGCCTTTTCCCATGGTGATCAACTGTCAACAGTTTGTTCTTGGTTCGTGACCCACAGGAGTATAAAGTTGACTCGGATCTCACACTTGATCTCGGTGCTAAGAACCATATATTTTATGCCACCGCATGACCAGAACTCACGCATTACTTTAAGCACGGGGATGCACCTGGTAGCCGAGTTCATGTCTCTCGGCTTGGGGAGGTCAGTGACCAACTCTTTTGTAGCGAAAAGCCTTGCGCCTGAAATAGCGATGAAGATCCCAGGAGCTTCATAAGCTGCTCTTCGACGACACTGGCATCCAGCATCCAGGCAAGCGAGTTGTTCTTGGGGGTAGTGTCGACCCTGCGTTGATGAATTGTTCCCTGTGGGTTCATTGGGGCATGTTTCTCCGAAAGGGAAGGATACTCTCTGCGGGACAACCAACCAGGAAGATTACGATTTCTGCATTCCCGTTAAATTGAGCTTACTGAACGGGCCGGTGTGAGGGTCTTAGATTTCACGTTTATATAGGAATCATTGAGCACGCAGAGGTGTGCGTATAAGATCGTACAAGGCTGACGGTGTTCGTGTTTTTGCTTGAGCGAGATGCTTCGAATGGCTGAATAGGAGCCCAAAATCGTGGCAGTTGCATTGAAACCCGCGGACTCGTCTGTGGCGGCTTTCGGTCAGGCCACATATTCCGCAAGATGGGGACGTATCTACGTGGAGTATTGAAACCAAAGCAATTGGGTGTGTCGTTTTTCGAGGCCCGGGGCCCCCTCTTTTGTTTTTGGTTTTTGGGCAAACCAACTGGAGAAAACCAACCGGTCCATGGTCGGGGGTCCCCCTATTTTAAGGCACCCAGCCTGAAGGCTTAAAAGCTGGGCACTAGAAGCCTGCAGCTGACGTGCCTGGTGGTTGCAGTACCTTGGTCTCCAGATTGGATTGGCCTGACAAAAGGTCAACGAGCCTATGGTCCGAATCTTTTGGTATACAAAGAACAAGCAAGTGAAAGGTGTAGACGCCTGCATCGGAGGCACCACTCAGTTCATTTGTTCACTGACAAGCACGAGTCTTTTCCATCGGCTTCGGAGGCAATCTGTGCTACATCCTGGTGTGCCGGGCCTTGCTGGGATGCTACATTCGAACGAGTCTTGGACTACTGTCGCTCAAGATACCTTAGACTCGGGCAGCAGCTCAAGCCTGGCGCCTTTGTTTGGGCACCAAGTCAGGATGACAGTAGAGGAAGATCGCCTGAGCTTGAGTTGCTCCTTGCTTGGCTGGCTGATCGGCTGGCTAAGCAGCTCATCTTCACCATCATGATCATAATCATGATCACCATCGGTAGTGTCATCATCACCACCATCATCACCATCACCACCATCATCATCATCATCATCACCACCATCGTCATCGTCATCGTCATCGGAATCATCATCAACATCAACATCACCACCACCACCACCACCACCACCACCACCACCACCGTGACCGTGACCGTGACCGTGACCGTGACCGTGACCGTGACCGTGACAGACCGTGACCGTGACCGTGACCGTCACTGTCGTCATCATCATCACCATCATCATCCTCATCATCCTCATCATCGTCATCATCATCATGATCGTCATTGCCGTCATTGCCATCATGATCATCACCACCATCGTCACATCATGAGTGCCCCTTCCCCCCTAAAGTTTCCAAATCCGGCCATGAGGGTTGCATGCCCCGCTTCCCACGCAAGTCAGGGGCACAAAGGATATTGATCACGCCTGCCATGTGGCGTGCCGCCCGAAGTCAGATCACTGGCATATCGGGCCCCAAAAGCAACTTAACGAACCTTTTCACAAATGGCTGGTGGACAAAAACACATCACCACCGAGGCCCCAAGAAAACAAACACAACCACACAGTAAAACTTGCGGTTCCGACAATTCCTGAGGAAGGATGGTGACAGAGACCTGGATGCGTCCCGGTCAATCTGGTCCTCGGCCCAGCGTGGCTCGGCTCTGGGATTGACAGGGACCGTTTCAGGTTGTCTTGTGAGCAGCTGACCTAGTTGCTCATTTGTTGCCCTACATCCACTTCAGCAGCTCAAAAGCCCCCCCTTCACAGGCCAAGCCAGAGTTGTGTCAAGGGAACTCGCAAGCAAATCCCTGCACGGCGAAAGCCGGCGCAAGCATTGTTTGGGGAAACATGCTGCGTATGCGCATGCGTAAGCTATTCTTTGACTGCTTGCAGAAGTTGTTGAATGCCAGGGACTTAGCCGTCGAATTTCCAAAACACACAGGTTACCGCTCAGACACAGCAAAACTACGGGGTCCACGCGTCGCGCAAGGCGCGCAAGGTTTGCGTGAGCTTGCTTGCCTGGCGCGGCTGCCTTCTCGCCCGCAACATGATGCCACAAAAGGCGTTCCTTGATCTGCAGTAGAGGGGTGGCGGCTGCATAGAAAAACTTGCCCGCGGAAGAAGCAATTCTTGATGCGAGTCGCTCAAAACGCTGACATGTAAGCAGCGCGTAAGCTTGACATGTCTGACTGCCGCATAAGCTAACGTTAGCTTGCACAACCCATCTTTAGCCAAGGTCCTGATGTTTGTACATGTTTATTGCCGTGCCTTGCATGTGGAGAAGTCGATTGGCCCTGCTTTGGCTTTGTGGGCGCGGAGCGGATGGTTGAACGTCAACGGGCGCCCCTTCAGCGGTCTGCGAGTTCGTTTGTGGGTGCGGTCGTTCGTTCGTTCGCTCTTGTTTCTTGTTTGCTTGTTTGTTGCTTGGTTAGATTGTTTGTTTGTTTGTGTGTTTGTGTGTTTGTTTGTTTGTTTGTTTGTTTGTTTGTTTGTTTGTTTGTTTGTTTGTTTGTTTGTTTGTGCTCTTATTTGTGCTTCTTTGGCTTGCTTGTTGTTCCATGTTGTGTGAAGTTGAGTGCTCGTGGTTTGCTTTGTTTTGTTGTAGTTATGTATTCGAGTGTGTCTTTTGTGCTGTGTCATGCCGAGTCGTTGTGTGTTGATCTACTGTGTGCGTGATTTATATAGTTTACTTTGCCTGTTCGATTGGTTATGCGTTTGCTTTTTGCATTTTGGTTTGTTATGGTTGTTTGGGTTTGCTTTGGCGTGTTTGTCTGTGTGATAGTTTGTTTGGTTGGTTTGGTTTTTGTTTTTGTTTTTGTTTGGGTTTGGGTTTGGTTTGGTTTGGTTTGTCTGTTTGCTTGCTTGCTTGTTTGCTTGTTTGTTTGCTTGTTTGTTTGTTTGTTTGTTTGTTTGTTTTGTCGTGTTGTTTGTGTGTTTGCCTTTCTGGACCCATCCGTTTGCCTGCCTGTTTGCCTGCCTGGCTGGCTGGCTGGCTGGCTGGCTGTTCATCTGTTCTCGACGTTTGAGTTTGTGTGTGATTTCGAGTGATCCTTGGTAGGGAACGGGTGCACTTGAGCGGCTTACCATTTGGCAAGCCGCTGAGCAGGTGCTCTTGAGCGGGTACACTTACCATTTGGCAAGTGTGTGTGTGTGTGTGCAGAGGCCTCATCTTGATAATATGGGAAAACCGACGGCCCTTTCGTGGGGTTGACGCCAACATGTAGCAAAGACCTTGGGTTGCCAACGACGCCGCTAGCTATAAGAATTACATAGCCGGTGTCAACGATCGAATGAAAATTGTTCCGCTATGCGCTGCAGAGTAGCACTACGATTCACCACCACTAAATAACCACGCATCATAGCACAAGCCACCAAGCAACCCACTGAGCAAACGCTGCTCAATCCACTGTGCAATTGCTTCACCCACCTTCTGTTTTGAATTGGGGGAGAGGGTAGCCCGTTCTGCTGCAAGGAGAGCTGGCCCTGATCCCGGACTCCAATCCGCCAGTACTTCACCATAGCCTCATCGCTGAAACCGGAGGTCGCATTGCCAGCTGGCCGATCAGTTGCGCCAGTGCGGTACTTGAACTTTGTCCGGCAACGTGCCACATGATCTACATCCAACACAACCAACTTTTCCAGAATGCCACAGCTGTAAGCTGGTGTCAGGGTGCCAGCATGCGAGCCGTGAGAGTCATTTGGACCGTGTGACCTGGCAAGCTCTTGTTTTTTTGTTGGGGGGGGGGGCAGCTGAGGCACGTTTTCGCGAGTTCATCATTTACCACGGCGCTCGCATCTACCCTGAGTACCTGGTGGCCTACCGGCGCGTATAAGGCCAGGGGATGTGGTAGGCTGAGTTGTTCAGTCTGGGTAGGGATGGTATGCACCCAACCCTCACGGCTCATCATTGAGGCCGACCTCACATTGCGATAAATGCCGCGTTTTCCCCGTTCCAACGTCGGCCCTGAAAGACCAAAACAACGCAGTGAGCGCTGTGCTGGCCAGGTGAGATGTGCAGAAGCAGAGGCTCAGCAGCCAGAGATCTGTAAGGGTGTATGACTCCAGGGTGGTCCTTATAGCCTTTCTTATGCAAATGCCTTGGGCGTTTACCCGTGTAACATGTTCCCAAACAACGTATGCCAAAAGGACCACCTTGCGCGACTCGTCGTAGACTCTGAGGATGCGGGTGGGTGGGCCTTTTAAAAAAGTCGTCCACGCAGCCTCGCCTTGCCCTGGCGTGGGCGTGCAAACTCTGCCGACTTGGGGCGAGTCTCGCACGGCCTGCCAATTGGCACGCGATGCGCTTGTACAGACTGGGCATCAGAAGAAATGGAGCGACGTTGGAGAGCAGACACCCAACCTGTGAATCAAGGGGTCGGTTGAATCGCTTGGATACCCGATGCTTGGCTGCTGTACTCGAATTCCCTGAAGCAAAGACATGTGGGACGGAGTTAGTGTGCTTGGGCGGATCTTCGACGGGCGTGCGCCGTTTTGATTCCTGCCAAACCCGACTGATTTGTGGCTTTACCATGGTTTTTTCAACGGCACGTACAAGGCCTCACCATGACTCGCATCGAGCGGAGAGCTTCTCATCCAAATGAGTAGCAGGGTTGGGCTTGCTAAACCTTCATCCCCGCGCCTACAGTGAGCGTTGCCATTCCAGCCTGTAGAAGCGTCTCTTTTTTTGTCTGAGGAATGAGGATGTGTCACTGCTTGTTTGTGTATTGTATGGCTTGGCATTACCATGCTGCTGCTCGTTCTTGGGCTTGGCACTGTGTAAGGTTTCAGGAGGATCTGCGGCTTTCTTCATGAACCCTTTCCGCTACCTTCCCCTCAATCCCACGTTTCGTTCAGAACTATTACAACATAGGAACTGGCTTGAACACGCACGCGCTTCCCAAACATCTATGAAAGCCTCAGAGAACACAAGAACAAGCACTGAGCAGGGAGATGTTCGATTCCTTTTGACCAATGCTTCGAGGTTCGGAATCCTTTTGACTTTGTCCGCTCCTTCCTCGGTCACATGGGCCAGGCCCCCAGTTGTGACAGCAAGATGTGTTTGCACGCCAGCATTCACACGTGGGGGACCAAAGGACCTTCCACTGTGACACTTGCCATTCCCCGCCATAATTGGTGTTGATTCGCTTCCTTCGTCTCTCTTGCTTTGTGGGGAATCCGCAGCAACACTTCTTCAATGGACGCTGCTGTATAGCCAGCGACCTCGAGAACTATGTCCATGGTGTAAACTTCCGGCAAATGGAATGATCACGGAGGTCTGAGTACTCGGAACATGCTTCTCCCAAAGCTCCCCTGCTTTGGCAGCGGCTATGATGCTCTCTTGGTACAGGTCTTACTGGTCAGCGATATCACCATCAAACTCAACCAGATCTTGGAAAGTGACGCACCTGGCACAAGTTCCCCTCTTGGAAGCGCAGGTGCGCACTCCGTCTCAGCATCTCTATCCACCACTTCCTCACAAAAGGTGGACTCTGTTTCACTCTCGGAAGAGCGAGCCAGTCGCGACCGGCATAGCCTTGCCCTTCTTCTTCTTCTTCTTGACCGGAGCTGAGATCTTTGGATACATATTTGTTTCTTCGAGAACGGACATATCAATTTCCCTTGGGTTGTGTACATGAGGAGAATGGCCGTGCTCGAACTGTTTCTTCTTTTCATCCGTGAGATTGCTCTTGAACACTGGCAATGCCATTTTCAGCAAATGCAGTGCCCAATTTCTGCGTCATCTATTAGAGAGCTTCATGGTTCTGCTTGTTCATCCTCTGAATGTTTCACGCAACGTTTAGAAGAGTCCACTGCATTTGTCCTCATTTTTCTGAATGGACAAAGATCTGTCTATGAAAGACAAGAAGCTTTTTGGATGGCCACTTGAATCTGATTCACCGGTCACCAACCCATCCGATCATATTTTTCTTGGACCAATTGTCATATCAAGTGATGCAGTCGCTTGTCATTATCCTTGCTCCACTTCGTTACGTGTCGCTCTAACGCATTAATCGGACGGAGCAGATCAAATCTTGCCAGTCTCGCTGGATGTAGCAGTTTCACCAGCACGCTGGCAACCTCACCCAACACCCGCGCGCCGGGTGTTGACCAGTGTGCTAGATAAGTTAAAGTTTAGAGGTTTGAGACAAGGTCTCCCTATCGCCGGAAAGCCCTCCGGAGAATGGCGATGGCTCGTTTTCGCCTTGGGAGCTGCAGCTTTGCCCCCCGTGAGCCGCTCAGGCCTGGATGCCAACGTGTCGAGCGCGGAAGACCAGGTGTTCTCCTGGGCCTTGGGCTTAGTGGCTCAGCTGCAACCCCCGGAGAACGGGGGTTGCCACAGGGAAGCTCCCCCCCAAGAGGCCGCGTGGTTTTTCTGTTCCGTCCCTTAAAGGTACCCACACAACACCTAAATTGGCCCATGATTGGCCGATGTGGTTGAGCTCCCCTTTGGTAGGGTGCTGTTTGTTTGTCAGACACCCACTTCTCTTCCAGCGGCTCCCGGGCTCAGGTCGCGGGGCGCTTTCCGAGTCACTTCAGCCCTGGGAAGCAGCTGTACCTGGACGTTTCCCAGGAGGGCCTCAGGCGGAGTCCGACGCACGATTGGGACGGTTTGATTTGACTCAGGACAGCCTTGGGCTCTGAAACAAGCAAACTTGTCGAGCTTTTGTTGTCACCCTGCATTGTCTGTTTTCTGAGTACCCCAGAAGTGGGCCAAGGTTTCTTGAGCAAATTTGTTTGTGAGACAAGACATCTACTCGCTGCAGTTCGCTGTTGGTGCTACTCCATTGTATTCTTACCCCATCCTTGTTTTCAGAAACTGACCCTTTCTCTGCCTTTTCCAGACCAGGGGGATGCATGGCTCATCATAGTTCCCCAGAGCAGATTGTGCCCCGCGCCAGGTACACGGGCTACGTGGATGCCGCGGTGCAGCGCTGGGCACTCACCGTGGATGAGTACCTAGCGTGTCACAAGGACATTCGAGGTCTGGCAGATGGCCATGTTAAGGGATTGAACATGGGCGGGGAGGTTTCCAAGCATGGTTGTGGCTTGGCTACCGACAGTTGTGTGAGTTGGGTCCCAAGTTGCTCAGTTGAGGGTGAGACTTTGCATGTTAAGTGCATCCCCCAATTGGTCCAACTTGGTTTGGCACATAATCTATGTCCCCCCTAAGCCGGGTTTTCTGCCTTTTTGAGCATCTACCATGCAATGAATCAGGATGTTTGGACAACCAGAAGGGGTGTTCACGAGATATGCAACGACCCTGCGCAAATGGCAAGTGCTCCAGCTGTTCCGTTCAACCCGGTCTTGAGTTTGGCAAGGTTCTGTTGTGGACGTTGGTTGGCTTGCTATGTCAAACCGGCCGAGGGACACGGGCCAACGTTTGTGTTGCCCATTTTCCTGTTTAGACGGACGTGGCCCTCCCCGTCGTTTACGTTCGCAGTGTTGTCAAACCAATTCATGGTATATAGAGTTTATACATATATGTATATATACATACACATACATATATATGTGTATATATATATATACAGCCACCAGGACTTTGTGCTGGTCCGCTACGAGGCGTGGCAACTTTCTCGACCGTCTGTCAAACCCCAAAGAACACCTGGATAGAACCCCCTAGTTGCTGATATGTTTAGAAGTGAACTAAACACTAATTCAGAATGAAGAGGTGACAGAGAGAAGAACCATGATGAAAGAGGCACAATGTCCCGGAGTCTATATCTGCATTGCTTACCAATTCACATGATTATTACGACATTAAAGCAATTTGTACAGAGAACGACAGGAGTGCCCACACACCCAAGTACACACCAAAAACAGGGGTTATGAGGGCCAAATCTCCATTCCAGTTGAGGCACACAACGAGTTTGCTTTCTATGGTTGGCCTGTTTCATAGTTTACCCTTCCACAAACATGGCGCCTGAATGGAGCAAACAGCAAGTCCTCTTTTTCAGTCTTCATCTCTGGGTCTCTGTCTCAAAATCAAACCCACACCTCCAGCGGAGCCCTTCTTTCCTGGTTTGGATGCGCATTCTCGGCGCCCCTTGCCATGGCCGGGTTGCGTTGCCAGGAGTTCAAGGCGGACCCAGTCCAAGAGACGCCGGGAAGCCTTGCTCTCACACCTCTCGGCTTGACAGGGGCACCAAAGCCAACCTGCTGTGGAGGTTTCACACATGGCTGCGGGTCAAAACCAATGGGATCCCCCATTTTAGTCTAGTTTAGTGGGGATTGGGATGCTCACTGGGGGTACGATTTGGGTTTTGACCCATGGCCACATGTCTGGCTCTCATTGCCAAGGCTCTGATCTGTTTGCTCCGGTGGAATTGTGCCAAAGCCTCCAGCGGTTAAATTTCACATGGGCGGTCAAGTGTAGCTTTCGAGGTTTGCCAGCCCCACAAACAGCGCAAGGACTGCGGAATCACAAGATCGACGTGCATCGGCCAGAAAAGACTTCACTGCCCAAAACCGCTCCCCCCCGCCCGAAAAAAGAGCAACAACAACTAGGCGTTTGACCTTGTGGCCCGAAACATGGGAGCAGGCCACGGTCTGAACACGTCCCTTCCTCCAGAGATTGTTCATCAGCCTGTTCGCCTTGAGAAGATGGTCAGACTCCCTGCCCTTCAGGAAGCTGTGGGTCAAAAATAGGTACCCAAAATGGAACCCTGGCAAAGGGAAGCATGGCCTAAAACTTGCGGTCCCCTGTTGGTTCATTTTGACCCGTACCCAGGTGACTTTGAGCAATGGCCACTCGAGGCAGCGCCTCCTTGACGCTCTTGGCCTGGCGCACCGCTGGGGCTCTGGCGCAGAGGACGGCAAGGGTTGGAAGGTGCGTTTCTCGTGAAACGGGGGGTTTGGGGGTGGGGGGGGTCGGGCGGGGTGGGAAACAGCTTGAACCCAACGAGCGAAAACTCTTACAATAAGCTGGGGGGGGCTAACCTTTTGATTGACTTAATCTGGTCACAACCTTATGTTTATTATTCAGGTTCGTATCGTAGAGGTTTATTGTGGATGGTCCGAACCACATCATAATATTGTGGACTACCATCCCTCGTGTGTTTGTGTTTGTGGGATATCTATCATTTGATCATAGGGACCCAAACGGGCGCTGGTACCGATCCGTCTTGCCCTCGAAGCCGACTAACCCCCCCGTTCAGATTTAAGAGCAATGCTTGAGTCGGGAATGTGCATATGTTTGAGACTGGGCAGCCTTCCCTGGTCCCCCCATAGAGTTTATGGCAAGTTGGATTGGCACTAAAACTCTGCCTGTCACCGCCCCGTACTTGCTAAGCCCAGAAGGATGCCCCCCCCTTGCCATTAAAACGACCACTTGTAAGTATCTCGTGTGGCCCCATGTGGCATGACAGACCGGCTCGAGTTCTGAGGAGCGGGTCCGGCACTCGGCCAAGGCGCGATCGAAGCCTTCGAGCTGGGCTGACGGCTCCGGCGTCCCTGTACTTGCGGGTAGGGAATGACCCAGGCTTGGGGAGTAAACCGGAAGGTCATGTGCGGAGAACCAGCAAGAAAACGAGACCCGTTCGCTGCGCTTTTCCGGTCCTGAAGGCCACTGAAGACGCACAAAGCGAGGTCCAAACGTTGACTCATGGCCACGGTGTCGGGCCCAAGCTTAAGGGTTGGTGTTCGGAGGAAAACTCAGACAAGAACGGACGGAAAATCGGATTTTGGGTTTAGATGCATCGAGTGGCTCCGGGAACCTTTCAATTCCTATGGGGTTCCCACGTGCGGTATCCCATTCCGCCTCTGTCGAGAGGTTCAGTACCAGACTGGGCGGTCCGTCGGCGTCAGCCCTGAGGAGGCCAGACTTCAGACTGGGCTCAGAGGATTTCTCGTTTTAGGTTTATCAGATTGGCGCACTTCACGGCGGTTTCCCCTAACTTGAGCAAAACATGGTTGGAAAGGGTCGGATTTGGGAAGCGCACTTGCGAGCCCATTTCTGCCGAAGTCCCAAGTTGGAAAGCTCGGAAACGCGAACTCGGAGAATTGGGGCAGCGATGAGACACACATCGAAGTAGGCAAAGCTGCCGCCTTTGGGGATGGGACTGGTTGCTTCTGATGGTCGTAGGTTGGCTTAGAGCTGGCTCCCCTTTTCTTGGTGGCTTCCCACCCAGGTGTGGAAAGCAAGATGGTGCCATTTGAAATTCAGACGCCACCCTGTGAGCATGTTCTAGTGGAGTCTGGACGAATTGTCGTCACCTTACAAAGCGAGTCCGTGATCTCACGCATGATGAAGTTGTTTTCACAGAGAGCCCTTATTTGGGATTGGTGAAGTACTGGCACATGCGCTAGAGGCGCAGAACCCCAGGCGCCATGCTCCAGCACCCCAAGCGCTGTTTGCGGATAGCTCAAAAACATGTCAACCCCAATCAATACAGGACGAATCTCGATTCAGGGGGAATGCACGAGGCAACCCCCTCTGAGAGCCAGGCCCTGTTTGCAGGTGTTTTGTAGCAAAAGCAAGAGCACGCTCTGAAAATGAAAGGCCGCGGTCTTGCAACCCCTACATATGAAAGCCTTTGGTCATCCCCACTTCTGGCCAGGTCTGCTAGGAATGTGAGGGACACATGCCTCGGCAACCTCACCGCAGCTCTGCACCCAAGTGGCACGGGAACCCCCCTGCACAAGATTCCAATTTGGTTCTGACCTTTGGATTTGATTTTGTGGATTACCCCGAACTCCCCCCAAGCATGCTTTTGTTTGTTCTCAGAGCCCGGCGGACCCCCGAGAACAACACGCGCCAGACCTTCGGCCCGCGCATGCGTGCAGCCCCAGCGGAAATGACGCCGAGATCCTCACCAATGGCTCAGTTGCCCAAAGCCGACCTTTTAACCTTTTGGTTTTCCAGTTTTGGTCCATTTTTAGTCTTGGCCCCAAAAGATTAACCTTTTATTTCTGGGTCCTTTGGGCAAGTGAGATGGAGATTCGTTGATATCTAATTGGGAACCCCGGAATTAGCAAACCCCCCCTGGTTCATCAAGCGATCCATCGCTTTTTGGAGGGGAACACCCCCTATGTTAATGGAGCCGGATTGTTAATCTGGGAGGGACATTAGATGTTGTCCCTTGCCTAAGATGATGCGGGGGGAAGAAGTTATTCAACCTCTACGCTTGGGTTTGAACGTTGAGCACATGTGCAGCTGCTTGGTCAAGGAGAAACGAGAAGTCTTCAGATGTTTTGCACAGTGCGAAGGCATTGGAGGACGTCGTGCGCAGTTTCGGGATTCAGGATTTAATCACAAGTCACATTTTTTGGATTCGGGATTCGGGATTTATCACATTTCAGGAAAATCACATTTTTAGGATTCGGGATTGGGGATTTAATCACTTTTCGGTATTAAACCACATTTTCGGGATTCGGGATTTAATCCAATTTTTGGGATTTGGGATTTAATCACATTCTTGGGATTAACTCACGAGTTCGGGATTCGGGTTTCGGGATTTAATTATAATCTCGGGAGATTCAGGATTCAGAATTCGCGCACGAATCACATTCTCCACCAGCTTCTCCGGATCATGTCTCCTCTGTGGAGTCTCCATGACGCCGGAATCTTTAAACTCGGGATGCAGTATCTGGGTGAGTTTGGTGTAACGATTTCTTTTTGGAAGCGCCATGGACAGTCAGATATTTGAATGTTTGTCAGTAGGGAGAGTAGCATGGTGCCAATATGGGCCTAACATGACAACCAACAGTCAATCGCGTGTGAAACATACAACTTTCGAATGCAACACGTTGATAGCAGGTACTCTGTTCCATTTGATCGCTAGAACTGGATCCATGGTAGAGGGGCGGGAGCTATCATTCAGAGTTGATACATCCGTTTGCTGTGACAGTTTGTGGCCAGAGAGGCAAGAGGCACTTTGGGGATGCACCCAGCATGTTACTGAGGCTCGCGCGGCTTGTTGCGGCAGTCAGAGCCTCAGTTTGATAATTTGTTCGGTATGCGTCGAAACTAGGGACTCTTGCGGAGGGTTTTGAAGGAAGCGAAGTCAACACCAATGGTGCCATTTTGGGGTAGGTGCACCACCCATTTTAGTCGATTTTAGTTGGGATTGGGATGTTCACTGGGGGTACGGGCGTTTGACCCACAGCCACATGCAGTTGAGTCCAAGGCCGCCTGAAAGACCAAAAGTCTCGGCTAAGGTTCGGTCAAGGGTGGAGCTGCTGGGTTACCCGTCGCCTGCCAAAGTGCAGGCCGGTTTGGGGGGGGGGCCGGGTGGCTAAGGCCAAGCAAAGGACGAGCTGCGTATCCCAAGTTTGTTCATCCCAAGTTGCTATACCCTTGCACGAACAAAAACAAAGAGGGCAGTGCTGTTTTGATGCTTGGTGTTTCACTCCAAAGTCATTTTTTGGGGGTGTTGAAAAGGAAAGTCACAAGGAAACACCAATAGGTTCAAGCTTGCCCGTTTGGAGTCAATCCCCTGTATCCTCCCACACAAAACTTGGAACCCATTGGGACTCCCTCCCTTTTACCTGGGACCATGTTGGGTTCCAAGACGGCGTTGTTTTGAATTCAAGCGCAAGCGAGCCACGGGAAATGGACTGAGCCAAGTTCAACACCTTGGAAGCTGAAGCCGAGTCAACTGCTTTGGCAGACATTTTGGTGATACCAAACACATCCCTGGACCTGGCAAAGGACTCACCGGCAAATGGGAAGCTTCCTATAACCTTGTCCGCAGATGTCCGTGCCTTTCTTTGAGATCAAATACTGTTTTCAAGACACAGGAGTGACATTGGAACGGTCCTTTTTCCTCACTTGCAACTAACAGTTGGAATTAAGCGCTGCTCGGCTGATAGGGCTCCCCTTGCTTTCTGTTTTTTTTTTTGGTTGTCTGGTCAAACTGGGCTCAGCTGTGTGCAAAGCAGAGGCGCCTGTACCTGAGCTCTTTCCGCTTGGCTTTCTTTTTGCAGCCGAATCATGCTTTGGAGCAATCCAGACATGAACTTTCAGAGTGGCGCATTCAAGCCAAAAAAGGGTTTTGTTTGGGGAAGAATACCAAGGTGGAGAGAAAGGGAGCATTCTGAAGTAGCCAGTGCGAATGTGCTTGCGTGTTCTGAGGGAAGCTGGTTGACTGACTATTTTCCAACCCAAAATGGATTCGAGTGTGGGGACTGCTTGGTGTCTTGTTCAGCTATCAATATTCGCTACTGATCTCCAATGGTTTGCAGTTCAAACAGGGGCCTTCAGGCCTTGCAAGCCACGCCAGACCAGCTTCCTGCGAGCACTGAAGCCTTGAGGCCTCTTTTTTGGGCTCAACCTATTTGGCAGTTGTTTTGGATTTGACAAGCATGCTCGCTCCACTGTTTCCGTCTGAAACAGCATCAGGGACCCAATTTGAGTCTGAATAAATGGCAAGTGACTAGTGTGTTCTTCCAATGACGTCTATGAATCAGGTAATAGCATTCCCACGATTTCCCACGTATGGTTCAGAGGGACCACTGCGCATCAATCTTCGCGTCACGCCTTCTGCCGCACAGGTTCCCGAAGATTGGCCAGCTATCGATTTGCCAGACGTGCCAACCAGGGGCGACTGCAAAACGGACGCGCGCTCGCGCTTTTGTGTGGTCAGAGGTAGCTCTCTGCCGCGCTGTCTGAACGAGGCCCTGTCCGATGGTGCCCTCTTTGCTTCTGGGCCAGGTTTGTTTTCCTTGTTTTCGACTAGTCGACCAGCAGAAGGGTGTCCTCGTTCCCGCATAGCCAGTGGGCAAGTAAGGAGAACTCTGCACCTTTCCATGCGGCGGGATAATGATGAGGGACACGAGATGTAGATGAGCTTGGCTATTTCATGTCAGGCATCTTGTCAAACTTGCAAACCCAAGTTGCAGGCAAGGGCCAGCAAAGCACAATGCTTGATTGCAGGCCTTCGCATTGTATAAAGGGATTGCAATAAGTCAGTGTGCCATTCTGCTTGACTTGGCAGTTGCACTTGGTCTTGGCCCAGCTGACAGACGCCCAAGCCGGCAGATTAGCTGCTTCATCGCCATGTTGTCTCGCTTGGCACGCGCCGGCGGAACCATCTCCGCTCGAGTCCCGAAGAGGACAGTCACCACAACGCAGGTGGGCGGCTACGAGGTCTTCGACCACTCCTATGATGCCGTTGTCATTGGCGCAGGCACTTGGCCCAACTCTTGCAGTCGATGTTATTCCTTGTTTTGCGGGGTTGCTCCTGCTTCTTCGCTAATGTGGTTGGAATGAGTTTGGGAAATAGTAGCAGTAGTACTAGTAGTAGTGGTTGGTGGTAGTGTAGTAGCAGTAGTAGTAGTTAGTAGTAGTAGTAGTAGTAGTAGTAGTAGTAGTAGTAGTAGTAGTAGTAGTAGTAGTAGTAGTAGTAGTAGTAGTAGTAGTAGTAGTAGTAGTAGTAGTAGTAGTAGTAGTAGTAGTAGTAGTAGTAGTAGTAGTAGTAGTAGTAGTAGTAGTAGTAGTAGTAGTAGTAGTAGTAGTAGTAGTAGTAGTAGTAGTAGTAGTAGTAGTAGTAGTAGTAGTAGTAGTAGTAGTAGTAGTAGTAGTAGTAGTAGTAGTAGTAGTAGTAGTAGTAGTAGTAGTAGTAGTAGTAGTAGTAGTAGTAGTAGTAGTAGTAGTAGTAGTAGTCGCAGCAGACCATGGTAGTAGAAAGTCATAGTTGTCCTGATGTTTGTTGCTCGCGACGTTTGAAGAGGAATTCACCGGTTTGTGTGTCGATTTTGTACTTGCAGATAAATCGTTCCGACGGAAGAAACGTGCTGCTTTCCCGCATTTGAGAGGTGTTTTGGAATCTGGGATTGTTATCCGATCGAATGTTGTCATTGGTTTCTGCGACTCAGTATTGCTTTGGCTGCATCTGTGTTGCCTGAAGTACATGCCATGTTTTGACAGGGTACTTGTCATGAACTCTCATGTATCACACTGGAAATCCTTCATGCGCGTCTGCTGTGCGAAGACCTTGCCGAGGGGTCCAAGCTTTCACGCCTCCCTGCCGCTTGAACGAGTCTTTAAAGCGTGTGTGACCTCCCACGGCAACAGTCAATACTTACTAGCATGTTAAGGGGGCGGCATGGGGCACACGCACCGAATTGGGTCCACGTCAGTTGGGCACTCAAGGACTGATCATGCTTTATATATCTTTGTATCTTTGTTCTATGGAGATGACTATGGACAGCAAGACGACCCTCAGAATTTTGAAGAGCAAGGGAAGCATGAGAGTCCTGGATTCACCTCCCCTAGTGTTGCTGTTGTGCGTTTTCATTGTGACTCCGGAGTTCCTGTCCCTAGAGAGTGAACCTTTGGTTACAGGTGACTTCAGTGTTTCTTGCACGTCTAGTGCTTGAAATGGGGCATGGGCGGGAGAAATTGTGTTTGAACGCTTTGACATACTCCTCACCGGGAATTGACTTTGGCTTCACCTTCAGCCTGGATCCTCCTGAAGATGAAATTGGGATTCCCCACAACGTAGCACAAAGTCCATGTTTTTGCAATGGGGTCAAAGAATGGGCCCCGCGATTTGGACTCAATCGATGTATTTTTCACTCACAAGCTGCAAGTACCCCAAAAGCCGCAACACCCAGCCAGATGAGCCGCTCCGGTACAACCGCTCTCACTGACACCTGCCATTCCACTTTGTCTTGAACCAGCAAACTCCCAAACAAAAAGTCGCTGGTGGTGGTTAAACTTCAATTATAGGGGAACTGCCCAATGGTGTTTAGGGGAACCCCCCAAACCGCCCAAGCTGAACACGACCCCCCCGCACCCGGCTTTGTGCACCATTTACAAGGCAATGTTCAGGTGCATAATGTAAGGATCCCTGTTGTGCCGGGAACCGGTGCCAGGTGGCGCAGGTCTGCGCGCGGCCGCCGGCTTGGTGGGCCATGGCTTGAAGACCGCGTGCATCTCCAAGGTCTTCCCCACGCGCTCCCATACCGTGGCCGCGCAGGAGAGCTTAAATGCGTCAACCAGGGCCACCCCCAAAAACATGTGGAGTCGCCTTGTCGGGGTCTTCCCTAAAAAAGAGACACTTCAACTGATTTCCTGGTCAGACATCACCTTTTTGGTGTCTTCCCTAAAAGAGACATTTCAACTGTGTTTCCTGTTGTTTCAGAAGGTTTGCGCTTGTCCACATTTTGAATGGGAGGACGCTTCGGCAAACATGATGTGCATTGGGGAGTTATGTCCACGAACTATGGTTTGGCTCTGTTGTGTGTTGTGTTTGCGTTGTGTTTGTTGCTTTTGGCACGTAGTCAGAGTTTTTGCGTTGGACAAATTTCAATCATAACAACGAAGAGGTCTTGGGATTCCACAAGATTGTCTCAGGGGGTTCCTCCATTCTTGGAGGTATTCAGGTTCCAGCTGAACTATGGACAATGGACACTGATACCAAACAGCTTTAAATGAACAGCGTGAACTGGCTGTGCCAATGTCATGTTACCAGGAGTTGGTTGCTTGGCTCATGGGCGGGTGGGTGGGTGGGCGGGCGGGCGGGTGGGTGGGTGGGTGGGTTGGTTGGTGGGTTGGTGGGTTGGTTGGTTGGTTGGTGGGTGGGTGGGTTGGTGGGTTGGTGGATTGGTGATTGGTGGGTGGTTTGGTGTTTTGGGGTGTGGGGTGTGGGGTGTGAGCTGGGTGGATCTGGGTCGTGCTGTTGATTGGTTATTTGGTTAGTTTGCTGGTGGCCGGTTGCTTGTTTGTTGATTGGTTTGTTTGTTTGTTGGCTCATGGCTGCTTGCCGGTGGGTTGATTCTTACCTGGCATGTTCCAAAGCTCAGATCCGCGTGGACTTATGGTTTCCACCGACTTTTGTTCAACCCCCTTTTGGGCATGGGTGCGGATCGACCGCAGGGCGGCATCAACGGTGCCTTGGCCAACATGACGGAGGATGACTGGCGGTGGCATGCCTACGACACTGTGAAGGGCGCGGACTGGCTGGGAGACCAGGACGCCATTCAGCACATGTGCCGCCTCGCGCCTGAGGCGCCCGACACCCCGCGCGCTTCCCAAACGCCGTTGCTGCGTTTCTTGGTGCAGGGGTTCTTACTTGGTCGGTTTTGGGCTGGTTGAACGTTACTAACCTTGCCATTTGCGCCAATTTGAGAGGGTCCATCTCTCAGTGTTGCTTGAGTGTCTTCCGAGTTAGCAATCCTTAACTGTGCGAAAATGTTTGAGGCGCAGGTCACCCTTTCCTCTTTTTACGGAGGGAAGTAAAAGAGCGCAGCCGTTTTGGGGTAATTTTAGGTTGCAACCAGTCAGATGATGGGGAGTATGCCGAATACGTTTCTTCCCCTAGAGAAAGAAATGAGACATGCCGGAATCTAGCAAGCTTCTTCGAAGGCAACATTGTTATTCGTGTCCCAGAACACGCACCCTACTGCCACTCTCGAATATCCATAAATAACATGATCTCTTATTTGAACCAATAAGGAGCCAAAACTGCGCAAGACTAAATCAGATCCCATTTACAAGTACTGGCTTGCTTGGGCAGACTGTCAAATTCGAATCGCTTTCTGCAAAACAATGTTTACCACGCAAGACAGGCCTCCGCTACTAATCTATTAAGGAGTCTCCTTATTTTTCACCAACAAGTTTGCCAAGCGATAAACCAATGGCGGGCCGATGCTGAGCCCCAACAAGTGTTTGAGCTCGTCCTGTGGCTTCAGTTTGTTTGGAGTTTCGCCATGAGTGAATGAAGGAGCATAGGTGTCCATTTTAGGTTCGTTCGGTTAGAACATATAGAAGGCACTGGCTTAGCTAGGTTCTATGCCCCATTTACCAGGGAAACCCATATGAAAGAAAAAACAACAAACACCTCGGAGCCAAACTTGGAGGTGTCCCTTGGCAACGGGGAAAGGGCGTCACAGGTCATCCTGGAGCTGGAGTCCTTTGGTCTGCCCTTCTCCCGCACCCCGGAAGGCAAGATCTACCAGCGGGCCTTTGGCGGCCAAAGCTTGAAGCTCCTAGGAGAACAAAGCGGGCAGGTTTCTTTGGTTCTGTTTGGTTTTGTTTGTGTGTGTGTGTGTTGTTTTGTTGCTCAACAAGTGGAGGTGTTCCTGAAACAGGGCTTGTGTTGCTTGATACATGTGGTTGGTTACTGTGCCCGGTCAAATAGTGGGCATGGTTGGTTTGGGTTTCTTTGTAGGGCCGGCTTGTGAGTGTTTCCTAAATGGCTGTGGGTCGAAACCAATGGTACCATTTTGGTTGGTAGGTGAATTCACCACTCATTTTAGAACCTATTTTAGTGGTTGGATTGGGATGTTCACTGCGGGATTTTGACCCATGCCCATTTGAAAAATCAAAGAACCAAGCATCTCTGGTTTCAAAGGAGGACGGTTTCAAAATGGTTTGCTCCAGTGAGTGTTTCCTCAGCAACCCCCTTTTGGGTGCTTCGGCTTCAATCGGCCAGCGTATCGCGTCAGACTCCGCGGCCTCTGAGGCGCTCCGAAGTCCTCGTCAAGTTCTCGTATGTTCTCGTAGATTCTTTACTAGGTCCCCCAGCTAGGTGAATGAACACCCATTTGCCACCTATTTTCGATGTTCACCAGGGGTTTCCTAGGTTTTGACCCACAGCCATACGAGCGTGTCTACAAACACACTCAGCTAGGTCCCCCAGCTAGGTGCCCTTTTCCCGTTTCTTTTTTGGCTGGGAGGGTTCCCCTACTAAAATAGACTACAGCAACAAGGGTATTCCAACCTCTCTTACTGGAGGACCAGTTTAGGAAGCCAGACCCGATTCTGGCTAGGTCCGACTTGGCATAAAGATCAAAAAGTACACATGTGTTTGTTGTTTGGGGTGTTCCACAGAGGGGAACTCCAAACTTGCTGGTGTTAGCCTTGATTTGACTTGGACATCCAAAACGGGTCCCCGAGCTTGGGACACACTAGATTTCTTCGGGGGAATTCGTAAGCGGACCAAAACCAACAAGACCACATGTTGACTGCGGTAGTTCGTGTTCAGACCCTTGCTTTTTGCTTGTTTCATCATATATGATATGCTGTAGTAGCTTTTCCTTTCAAGACTTGACACAGGTGTGTGTACGTGTCTGGTTGTGGTTGTGGTTGTGTTGTTTGTTGTGGTGTGTGTGTGTGTGTGGGTGTATTTGTTTGGATGTGTTTGGGTGTTCGACGATTCCCATTGGCATGTTAATTAAACCATCACGTCACAGGTTGACACTTTGCTAGGTCGTTCAAGTTGTGACTCATCCGTTGTTGAAGTGCCTTTCTAAGTGCCACATGTTGTTGTCCGATGTTTCTTCATCGGCATGTGGACAAGCATGATAAACAAACACCTACCAATTCGGTGAGTTGTGGCGATGGACGTTGTGTACAAGTGTACTAATTAGTGTGCTCTTTTCACTTTGATGCCCCGAAGAGATGGATCCCAACAAGGCAGCATCAAAGCTGTCGTCTGGAACTCGAATGCTTGTCATTTTGGCACAGAATTCGAAATCTGGAATGTTTGAGCTGAGGTTCGGAAAGGGCGGTCAGGCCTACCGCTGTGCTGCCGCGGCGGACCGCACGGGCCACGCCATTTTGCACACCCTGAGCCTTGCTTCGAGTGGTGTCTTTTGGTCTGAGATCTGGCCGCTCTTGGCCTTTGTTGTTCTCCGTTATCCTCGTTTGTTGCCTTTTGGACTCTGATCTTTGCTTCAACCTGACAGGGGAACTTGGTATGACCGAACAGCAATTATATTTCACCCAGCTTGGTGAGTTTGTGAGGCGATGTTTCGTGTGAAGTCGATTCCGCTGAGGTATGGCATGGCACTCAAGTTTGACTGCCTCTTCTTCGTGGAGCACCTTTGTTGTGCAGCAATTAGCTCGACAGAACATGGGAGATTGCACGAGCACCTGGGAAGGGAGGGGAAAGGAACAGGACCCATTTCTAAGACCTGGGACCCAACGATCAATTTCGAGCCCAGATTCTGCCAGATTCGGATGGGTTTCCCTACAGGCCAACCAAACAGCCGTCCTTTCTTGCCATGGACCAATGGATGCGCAATTGAGTTGAGGCCACAGACTAAGAATCAACAGGCAACCCTGTGGCATCAATGTCCATTTATTGAACATGAAACGTGAGCTTTCGCATACAACTTTTGCAGGTCATCTCGCTGGCCCTTCATTGGGATGATTACTCACTGATGCTTACATCATTTTGACGTTTCTCAAATGGGCCTGAGGACAATGATTGTGATGACCCGTGTGTTGACCCGTGTGTTGACCCGTGTGTTGACCCGTGTGTTGCCCAACTTCGGTACGGCGTATCCGTGCACCCAGTTTCGTCAAAATGCATGTTTCAAGGGCATCCCTCTGAACACGACGGGTTTTTGGCGTCCATGTTCGTCTGCAGCCCAAGAGGACACATTTCGGAGTCGTCTCAGGTACTTCGCCATGGACCTGATCATGAGCGAGGACGGTAGATGCCTGGGCTGCGTCGCCATGTGTATGGAGGACGGGACGGGTGCAAGGGCTCAGCTTTTACATCCCATGGAGAAGGTTCCTGTCGTAGGGACAATCCCCCATCTCCTTTTTGAGGCGCGCACATTTGCTGCACCACCCTGGCAACCACAGAGACCTGGTTTCAAGGCAGTGGGGATCCTTTATGGTTTGGTGAATGCTTGTTTCTTTTTCCACTTTGCAGTTGTCCTTTGCGACCCGAATCTGAAATGAACATTTGGAATTTGTGGTCTGCAGATGTCACTTCTCTGAATAGCTTGCACCGTTTAAATGGCGGAATTCAACAACTAGCTTACTCGGACCAAGACCAAGCCTCCGCTCTTTGCGCGGCAAACAGATAGGAGAGGGGTCAAGGTTTTATCGGGACACCGGAGACACCTGCGGCGAGGACGGGTCCATCCACCGCTTCGGAGCTCACAGTACCATCGTTGCCACCGGCGGCTTTGGACGCGCCTACCAGCGAGATCCTGAGTGGGATGGGTCACAACGACTGCGGAAAAGGGCGGGGATAGGTCGCCACTTGATGCCGAGGACGTGGTAATTACTGGACCCTTCTCCTGTTTGGAGGTCAGTCGAGTGGCATGTAGCTTTTCTCAATTTGTTTCTTTCCAAAGATGTCTCGCGCGAGCGCGGGGTTCTTTCTTTTTTCTCATAGAAACTTGAAAGACGGACCCTGCATCATTCAGGCGTGGCGCCAAACATTTACCCACAGGTTTCTGTATCCTGTTGCACGGCCTGCTTGAGCCACAGTCAAATCCCGTCTAAGGTTTGGAACAGTCCAACGTATAAATGCGTTCGGTTGCCTGCTTGATTCTGCACTGCAATGACTTGGTAGGCCCCTTCAACGCCAAGGTTGAGATTGTGACACACTTGATTTCAACGAGGTCGCTGGTGGCTTCCATGCCTCATACCAGCTCCCTGCTGCTTCCTTTGGCTTGTCTTGTCAGGGCCCCCGTATTTTCAGGGTTTAGTGCCAGTTTCTTCTGGTCGTCTCAGGGTTGGGCCAAATCAGTTTGAACAGCCAGGGACCCTTCAAAGGGAAGCCAAAACGAGGCTGTTTCAACAATGGCCCCCTTCAACAGTTCAGAAGGGAAACCGTATTTCTGTTTTCCAGTTTTGGTTGTTTTTCCCCAACAGCTGAAAGCGCCCAGATAGGCTCCGGGGTGGTCCGGGGGGCCCCCACGAGGTTCTGCGAGGGCTGCGGGGTGGTGTGAGCACTAAAAAGAGCATCGCATGCTGTTGGGGATATCACCTGAGCTTATTTTTTCCCAGTTGTTTAACCACGTTTTGTTTTTTCTTTTTCAAAGCCATGTTTTTGCCTTTGCTTCGATGGGGCTGGTTGAATCCCAGCCGCAGGTCCTGCACCTCTGCGCACACCTGCACGGGCGACGGCAGCGCCATGGCGTCCCGCGCCGGGCTGCCCATGCAAGGCGCGACCACAGCCGCCTGCTGGCCGCCGGGGCTTTTTTGTGGGTTTTGGGGGGTGAAATTCTTGGGTCCCTGAAAAATAGAAGAAGCACAAACCACTTTTGGGGTGAAATTAGGTTGATTTGATAGAAAAGTCACAAACCACTTTTGGGGTGAAGTTGGGAGTAACATCATCTTTGTTGGGTCCCTTAAAAGACAGAATACACGCCCAGTTCAGTGGATTGCCCCCAGATCCCTTGCCGGGTTCCTTGCAATGGGATCGACCGTCCCCTAGGCGAACTGAGGAAATGGGCAAATTAGAGCCATCGATCTCACAAATGACCCAAGAAGCACCTGGACAGGCTTGGTTGTCAAACTTGGGGGAGGGGAGTGAGTAGCCTCACGGAGCGGATTGGTTTTTGTTGGTTGGTTCTGTTCATGTTTTATCGGGGGTGCAACAAAAACAAGCTGTTTACACAATTTGGGCCCAACTATCCCCAGGGGCAGATGAACCTTGTTCCACGGGTGAACGTCCCACGGAGAGTCGACTTTGTGCACACTGAAATTAAGTGGGTTTCTTAGATGTGATTGGGTTTGGCAATTCTGTCCAGTTTGGACGAGTGCGGCACATATCTTGGAGGCTTGGGGGGGGGCATGTTCTTTTTCGATAGGCGGATCTCTAGTTGGAGCCCGCAGGTTTGTTCCGGGGACTTGAATCAGGGACCTTCCATTTATCGGCCACCTATTGTTCCTTTCCTCGATCAGTCTCCTTTCAAAACACAACACGGGGAAACCGGGCGCTTCTGGCTTTTGTTGCTTTCCTGCCTTTTTGCTTTCTAGGTATTCCTGGATTCATCCATAGGTGTCCTTCCGTTTTCCTTTAGGTTTTGTCTATGTCTTCCTTCCCGTTCCCAAGGCATCCGTTGTGCACTGGCCTTCGCCTTTCCCTTGAACCGGGGGCGGCCCCACTTGAGCGTCGCCAGACCTGGAGTTCGTGCAGTTCCACCCCACGGGCATCTTCCCTGCCGGGTGCCTCCTGACGGAGGGCTGCCGCGGCGAGGGCGGCATCCTGAGGAACAGCGAGGCCTTGCACGCGTCAAATGCGAAGGGGAGGTGTGGGTTTTTTGGTCATTTTTTAAGGTTGGTTGGTTTATCTTTAAATGTAGACGAACAAGGCATTCTACCCCCCCCCCCCCAAAAAAAAAAAGGCAGACCCGTGTGCCATGGGTTTTGCAGGGTAGCCAAACTTTGGCAGAGTTTGACATGTTTCATTCAAAGCGACACACACACACACACATCCAAGATTACATGTGTGCTTTCATGTCCAATGTGTTTTACAGGGAGCTTACACATATCTTTTTGGCGAGTCCACCAGTGGTTGTCTTTGGACGATTTGTTTCGGGCGATGACAGCTCCCCATTTAGAGACGAAGCCAAATGTGTGTTGAACAGTGGGCACGGACGTGCTTTGAGCGCCCTCTATGTCCCAACGCACATGTGTTGGTGCTCAAAGCCCGTTTGAGGTGATTGAACGTTTTTGTGGGACACACACCAAGAAATGTGGCAGACGCCACACGAATTCAGCATGTGTAAAACACAACTTCCGGTGATGGATCAATCACCGAACAGAAGAAGATCGACTTTCCGCCGCTGGGGCTCCTTCCACCTTAGTGTTCGGAGGTCTCCACTCCCTCCGCATGCCGAAGCCGGACTTCATACAACTAAATCTTGGGGATCAATATGGATCAACAGGGGGAGTGCCAAATAGCCCAATATGTTTGACAAAGGAAACAACAGTTTAGCAACCGGGAATGGTTGCATTTTCTTCATTTTTCCGCCCGTTCCCACTTTACCATCTCCGCCTTTCGGCCTTTCCGCCTTTCCGAGCGCTCAGGGCGAGCCCTTCATGGCGCGGTACGCGCCCACCGCGAAGGACCTGGCGAGCCGCGACGTGGTGAGCCGCGCCATGACGCTGGAGATCCGCGAGGGCCGGGGCGTGGGCCCCAACAAGGACCGGAGGGTTTCCTCCTCCCGCAGCAATTGGTGCCCGTTCTCACCCGGGAGATTCGGTTCCCCTACTAAAAGAGACTACAAGAAAAAGGGTACCCGTATTCTAACCATTCTACTGGAGGACCTAGCCTCCATTTCCCTTTTGAGCCTCCAAAAGTGGCAGTGATGTTTCTTACTCTTACAGGGTTTCCTCCATTTCACTTTTGGAACCTCCGAAAGTGGCAGTTTCAATGGAAACCAGCAGTACATTGCAACTTTTGAGGGGGAAATGCAGTGACCTTTTTTGGTAATTTTATCACGTTTCCAGACATGGAGGGGAGGTTATAGACAGATGTTCGAAGCATGGACAGTGTTTCAGTCTGATTGCTGATCCATCACGGGCCACCCCCCCCCCCACCTATGGCCGAGACCTCTAAGCGGCCGCGCTTTGGGCAAATTGCTCGATACTCGATTGCCTACATGTAGCAAGCGGGCGACCATTGATTTCCTGCAACTTGCCGTGCTTCCCGTTGGGTGTGCATGCAAAAGACAATCTACTGTAGTAGAGAAAGTTGGTTTTTCATGTTGGCAACTTCCAAGAAGACACATGGCATCACTTCATGTCTCAAGCTTCACACGTGTTTTTGCGTTGAGCAAAAGCTGACGTGTTTGCGGGCGACGTTTGCGATCGCAGGACCACATCTACCTGCACCTGGATCACCTGCCCCCCGAGACATTGGCAGAGCGACTCCCAGGCATCTCTGAGACTGCCAAGATCTTCGCAGGCGTGGACGTCACCAAGGACTGGCAGTCGTAAAAGAGCTAGTTTTCTAGGGGACACTTCCCCATTCTTTTCAGGGATCCTTCTTTCCAGAAAACCATCAGAACCCCAGGGGAAACAGCTGGTTTTTGAGAAGAACAAAAACGATGGTGGAGAAGAATGGCTGGAATCAGCCCCTAGAAGTATGGTGAAGTGAATTATGGACCAGTCCGTCAGTTTGTTAATCTTATCTAATACAAGGTGAACCCTGGAGTAGTCCTCGTTCGCAAAGCGAAGGATTGCCTTAGTGAAACCCCCTCACTCATCAACCAGGGGTTTATTAATCCAAGGTGTCAACTACACTATTTGTTGGAAAGCAGCCTCCGGGATGCGGGTGCAGAGGCCTAGTTTTTGTTGAAAAGGAGCCCTTGCCTAGAATTGTTGACCAGGAACCCTCTGTGAAGTACTGTGGCTCAATCTGATTGAAAAGGATCCCTCCAACATAGAACTAACATGTATCGAACAGGGAGGATGCATCGCCATAATTAGTCAGAACTGTTGAGCTGCACTACCAAACTATTGTGGAGAGATTTGTCGGAAACTAACAATACTCGCCAATATTGTTAACACTGCGTTTCTGTGTTTGAGCATCACCAACTTCTGGTGGCAGGATTCTGTATTAGCTTAGTACGGAGGCGTATTGAGGTATAAGGGGACCCTTCGCATTCCTTCGAGTTTTCGGCTTTTCCACAGAATTCAAGTACGCTGTAGGGGTCCCCAACGTTGAGACTTGCCCATGACGTGGGTTTGTCACCTCCCCATGATTTTTGGCTTTTGTTTGGCTTCCTGTTCAAACAAATCCAAGAGGTTTCCCTTCCAAGGGCCTCCCTCCACAGCCAACGCTGGATGATCGGATCGCCGGGGGTTGCACTGGACCCTTCGGGCATGTCTTGTGTAAAGGAGGCTGGATTTATGTCAACTCTACATCTTGGGTGGTCGAAACATTACAACTCATTGACTCATTGCTGATTCGGCAAAGCTGAACACGAGTGGCCATGCAAATCCCAGCCATAAATGGGCGCGGCCGCCTTGTCAATTCTTTAGATGGTTCCGGGTTCACCATTTTTGGACCAGGGTTTGATTGTGACTCACTTATTAAGCAGATTATCCAAGTAGATCGATTGGCTTTGGACGGAGAGTGAAGGAGCCTGCTCCAGTGCTGCCCACGGTGCACTATAATATGGGCGGCATCCCTACAGACTGGAAGACCCAGGCGCGGTCTCTTTGGAGGGCTTTTTGAGCCCATCCCCCAACTTCCTTCGCTTAAATCATAATTGGCGCTCTTTGTGGCGTTTGTTTAATTGGCATTGCGGAAGCTCGGTCCAGTTTGAATAGCTCTCCACGAATTCGCGTTGAGCCCCTTCACAATTTTGCGCGACCAATTGGTTACACCCGTCTGTTGAGGTCCCTTGCAAGTAGCTGTACCCTCTTGATTCGTGCAACTAGGAGTTCTTCTTTGAGTTGATCGGAATAGAACCCGCTTGGAAATGCACAACCTCGTCAACCATCTCCGTTCCTAAAGGTGGCCAACACATCCAGCTGCTATCATGAGCCTTTCTTAAATTCGTCCTGTTGGGGGCATGCATGTTTTGTGAAGTCCAGGATTCCGGGACCATGTTTAAATGTTGGTTGATTCAGTTTTCGTTCTCTTCGGCAGCCTGAGTGACTCTAGTTTGGAGACTTGCAACCAGTCCGTGGATGAATTCGTGAACCAGGATCAACCACCAGCGCAACGGGCGGAAACCCTGTGTAAGTAGTCATGCCACCCCCCAACCTGGATTTTCTGCTCCTTTTTGCGGCTACAGGAATCACCCCAAACAGACTGGGCACCATGTTTGACTGGAGGATCAGAGGGGACAGTTTGCTCTTTGTTGTCGCGAATTCGCACAAATTGATTTATCCACACTTCAATTGAAATGTGAAGCCTCGGACGTGAAATGTAGTGGCGCTGCTTAAAATTAAACAAGAATAAGGCACACCCAAAAAGGTACCCTCAAACAAAGACAGACCCAAATGATTCCAGATCAAGCCTAGTCGTTGGAAGGCTGCAATGCAAGAAGCCTTTCAAACAGGTGCCAAACTCTTTCCAATGGCTTGCCGCCTATCTACCACGGTTCATTTGTCCAGCTGGTTCTCCCGTCATGGATACCCGGCCAACACACGGAATGAAGGAGTATTTGGGGACCAGTCTAAGATCCAAATGCAAGCCTCTCATTATATGTACACAGCTGTATCCCCCAACATGGCTGGTTTCCCTTCTTTTTGATTTCCTTTTGACAACTCACCCCAAAGGGTCGCCTATTTTGAAAAACCGTTTCCACCATATCATACCCCATTGGTTTCTCAGTGCCAGGTGCTCCGCAACGTGGAGGGGGAGATCGTGCCGGGCTTGTTGGCGGCCGGAGAGGCGGGCTGCGCCTCCGTGCACGGCGCCAACCGCCTGGGCGCCAACTCCCTGCTGGACCTCGTGGTCTTCGGGCGCCAGGCGAGAGAGCCACCTCCCCTGCGGCTACAGGAATCACCCCAAACAGACTGGGCACCATGTTTGACTGGAGGAGAGGGGATGTCTTCGGGGGTCAGTACCAGGGGTTTTGAAGGGAGACCAAAAGGAAACCCGTTCTTTTTGGGTGGGTCTGAAAGAAAGTTAGATGGAAGTTAACTAGATGGAAAGTGAAAGTGGGTTGAAAGGCAGGTAGACAGAGGGACAGTTGGATCGGCAGACGGACATACAGATACACAGATACACAGATAGAGAGATGGACAGACAGACAGACAGACAGACAGACAGACAGACAGACAGACAGACAGACAGACAGACAGACAGACAGACAGACAGACAGATAGATAGATAGATAGATAGATTGATAAATTGATAGTATAGTTAGATAAATTGATAAGATAGATAGATAGATAGATAGATAGATAGATAGATAGATAGCTAGCTAGCTAGATAGCTAGCTAGACAGCTAGCTAGATAGATAGATAGATAGATAGATAGGTAGATATGTAGATATGTAGATAGATAGATAGATAGACAGATAGATAGACAGATAGATAGATAGATCGATAGATCGATGGATGGATGGATGGATAGATAGACAGATAGATGACTAGATAGATAGATAGATAGATAGATAGCTAGATAGATAGATAGATAGATAACTAGATAGATATATAGCTAGATAGATAAATCGACAGTTAGACAAATTGATGGATATATATATATATATATAGATATATAGATGCGTAAAAAGTGGACAGATAAACAGACTAGATAGATATGGGATAGGTAGACACATAGAACAAAGTCAGATAGATAGTCAGGGAGCTGAGATAGACAACAAGATAGCAGTTTAGATAGATAACTCGATAGATAGGTAGAGAGACAGGTAGAAAGTGAGGTTCTGTGTATAAACAGAGAGATATACAGAAAATATAGTAAAGGTTAGATGCTTGCACGCCTGCACCCAGCGCGTCCAACGCGCCCGCCCTCGCGGAAGAAAGCAAGATAGAAAGGAAGAAACAATGAAGAAAGATGCCCAACAGCAAGAAGAGCAGCAGGCATAAGAGAACAAAGAGCCTGGAACCTTCCGCCCACCGGCTTCGCCGGTTTTGCTATAGCCCCCCCTGTGTGATTTGGCAAGTCCCCTGTTTGTTTTCTCGAAAACAATCCATGGGATACAGAACACTAGATACATCCACCATTCACTAGATCTGTTTTGTTCATTTTGGAGATAGATCCAAAGGGACCCAAACGGACGACCCCACCTGCTGGGCCAAGCGACCTGCGCCGTGACATGGCCACCGGAAGGCCGCGGACACCACTGCAGAGCTGGTGAAGCCCAACTCCCCGCCGGTGAAGCTGCCGCCCAAGGCGAGCTTGGCGCGCGCGCGTCAAGCGGCAAGCGGCGCGCGCGGCCGTGAGCCAAGATATGTTTTGGGGACCCTGGAAAAAAACCAGCAGGAGTTTCAATCTGGGAAGCCAGCAAAGGGTTCCTTTTTTTCTTTCCCGCCGATCTGCTCGAAAGGTGCTGGGCTTGCTGAAAGGAAGCTCAAAGAAGCTTCTGAGCAGCAGTCCTGGTTTGGGTTGGATGCTTTTTTTTTTCCGGCTGATCCCCAGCAGCGCTAGCTGGGGGCCTTTGCCAATCCTAGGTTTGGGTGCGGGGATTCAGGATAGGTTCCAGATTTGCGCGCCGTAGCGAAGAGTCAACCTGCATGGCCCCCGAACAGACGCTTGAAATGGATTCGGGAGTAAACATGTCCATTTCCTTCAAAAACTCCATACCCCCACATTCAATTCTGAGATGCCTCAGGGAGCCACATGTCATGTCTCAATCCTGTCTCACATGTCTCATGTCTCAGATGCTCTCAGGATGTGCACGAATCCATCCAAGCCGTGCATCCGCGAGGCTGGGGAGGCCTCCATCGCACGCATGGACAAGATGCGCCACGCCAAGGGGCCCATCCCCACCGCCGAGCTCAGGCGCGAGCTGCAGGCGCGGGTGTATGGATGGACGTACGAGAATGCGAGAAATTGTGACCACCCTTCATTTTAAGAATATGATTTATCCTCCTCGGTTGTTGTATTGAGGGAATCTATCCCTGCAGGGCATAGGTAGGTTGTGTTTTTCCAGGGGACTTGAGCAAATTGAGGTTGTGGTATGGATTGAAGGGACAACACTTGCAAACCGCACGGCCAGAAACTTTGGAGTCCAAGGATACTTTGCGAGCGGTGAATCAAGCAGTGCACGTGTCACTGGCAGGGCGCAATTCGTGTGACTGGTAGAGCGCAGTTTCCCAGACATGGTGATAAAGCCTTGTTTCACTTGACTTTTTGCAATCATATGCCTCCTTAAACATTGAACGGCACTAATGTTTCATAATGTGCAAGGTTCAATTGCTGCAGGGCTCAAGACGCTGCATTTGTCCTTGTCTTTGACTGTGAGTGTGCACTTTTGTTTGTGCATTTAAAGCAGACCAAATTCAAGTGCATATGTCCATCTCATGTATCGGTGTGCGTGTGCGTGTGTGCGTCTGCGTGCGTCTGCGTCTGCGTCTGCGTCTGCGTCTGCGTCTGCGTCTGCGTCTGCGTCTGCGTCTGCGTCTGCGTCTGCGTCTGCGTCTGCGTCTGCGTCTGCGTCTGCGTCTGCGTCTGCGTCTGCGTCTGCGTCTGTCTGCGTGCGTGCGTGCGTGCGTGTGCGTGCGTATGTGCGTATGTGCGTGCGCGTGTGCGTGTGCGTGTGCGTGTGCGTGTGGGTGTGGGTGTGCGTGTGGGTGTGGGTGTGTGTGTGTGTGTGTGTGTGTGTGTGTGTGTGTGTGTGTGTGTGTGTGTGTGTGTGTGTGTGTGTGTGTGTGTGTGTGTGTGTGTGTGTGTGTGTGTGTGTGTGTGTGTGTGTGTGTGTGTGTGTGTGTGTGTGTGTGTTTGTGTGTGTTGTGTGTGTTTGTGTGTGTTTGTGTGTGTTTGTGTGTGTTTGTGTGTGTTTGTGTGTGTGTGTGTGTTTGTGTGTGTTTGTGTGTTTGTGTGTGTTTGTGTGTGTTTGTGTGTGTTTGTGTGTGTGTTTGTGTGTGTTTGTGTGTGTTTGTGTGTGTTTGTGTGTGTTTGTGTGTGTTTGTGTGTGTTTGTGTGTTTGTGTGTTTGTGTGTTTGTGTGTTTGTGTGTTTGTGTGTTTGTGTGTGTGTGTGTGTTTGTGTGTTTGTTTGTGTGTGTGTGTGTGTGTGTGTGTGTCTGTGTGTCTGTGTGTCTGTGTGTGTGTGTGTGTGTCTGTGTGTGTTTTATACTTTGTGAGTACACCTTGAACTATGTCAGTCAGACTTAGCCAGTTTGATTATTTGCTCACGTGCGTCGTTTTCATAGATTGACAGGTGTGCATTGCTTAAACAAAGGCAGCATCAATGTTTGTCAGCAACCCTGTCCAACAATGACAAACCAGTCAGAGCACACCAAGTGAGCAGCTTAAGTTTTGCGCCAGATGGCGTTGCAAAGGTGGGGTGTCCTCAAATCGGGAAAGGGGCAGCTTCGTGGATAGTTTTCTAAAGCGCAACGAAAGGACATGAGCAAGCGTGGTGTCTTCTTTGTGAGTACCGCTAAGTTCAAGATTCCAAATGGAACTGACCCTCGACCCGGGACGATGGTTGGTACCTTGCTGAATCTAGAGAGAGGTTGCTGGCTGTCAAGGGGCTCCTCTTGAACAATTCACGTGCAATATAAATTATGTCCGTTTTTGGTCACTTTGGATGAAACATACATTAGCTTCACCTGTGGCTGCTTCGGTCAAATCTTTTGCCAGTGGCCCCATCCCTTTTGAAAGATACCTCAGATGCGGAGTGGTTACTTTCAAGGACAGAAAATGTTTGCGGTGTGAAGGACTTGGCGGTTTGAACAGTGCGGCGTTTTCACATAGGCAAGGATATGTTACTTGTTCAGAGGTATCCGCATTTTCCTTGTACCCCAGTTGGTTCCTACCGAATATGGCCAGCAAACACCAGTACGTTCGTTGTCCCAACTCCAACGAAGAGATGTTGCAGGATTTGTCGCCAGTGCAGCCTGGAACCTGCTTCCTCACTGCCGAACTGAATTTATGATGTGTAGCTGTCGCTCCAACATGTTTGCGGTTTGTAATTAACCGCCCCCGCTCCCTCCCGCGGACATGTTTATCCCGGATGGTCCAATATCCGAGGGTGTCTTCCGCAAGGGGCTTTAGCAAGTAGTGCGGCTCGGGATATTGCCCCGGTTTCCCTTCGAGCTCCCTGCAAAGGAAGCGCCCAAGTGCGGTGGGCCTTAGGTTCCTTCTTTGAGCGGAGCCCCTCGTTTCGGGTGCTTAATCGCCATATCTCCGCAGGTGAACATGCAGAAGTATGCCCCCGTGTACCGCAATGCGGACGACCTCAAGAAGGGCAAAGATGTCATCGTGGAGGTCATGAAGAAGTACAAGGCGCGGCCAAGGGCCTTGGGGACATTCCACCCACCCCACAAGTGAAGCCATTTCTGCGGGTATTTATACATGGCCGTGGTGTATGTATTTATGGGTGTGCATGTGCCAGGGAACCTCTCAAACCTCAGGCACCAACCAGCATCTTCTAACGAGTATGCCGCGCCCGTTTGCTCTCGTGTGTCGTGTTTTGTATGGGAGCACCAACTCAAAAGTTGCTGGCTGTTGCAAAAGAAGCTAATCACGTTTGGTGATCGATGTGCACCAAAAGGGTCCAACCACTTAGAATTCCTACCCGCAGAGTGGATGACTCGTCATTCCAATCCATTTCTCTGAGGACGTGGGCATCACGGACCGGACCATGGTGTGGAACACCGACCTCATCGAGACCCTGGAGCTGGAGAACCTCATCAACCAGGCGGAGTTTTTCCTTCCAGAGAAATCACTCACCTTTGGCTGTGGTGGTCAAAATTAATGGGATCCCATGTTGGGGTAGGTGCACCACCCATTCTAGAACCTATTTGAGTGGTTGGATTGGGATGTTCACTGCGGGTACTTGGTTCATGGCTTGCCTTGGTTTCAGATTCAAGGCAAGCCCGTACGGCACCTGCCACCTGCGGGTTGACCATTCATCCGGGAAAGTGATCACTTTGCGTTCATTCACTTTCCCTGACTGTTCCGGATGCGCAAAGCAGGAAATGGAAGGTCGTGTTCGCTTGTCCAAGCACCAGCTATACATGTGGGTGATTAAAAAGGGGTGCATCAACGCCCACAGGTGACTTGGATCGACCCACAGGTTTGGCCCAGTCACAAAGACACCCCGGACCCCGAGACTGGCGTTCTCCCAAAATTAAGTAAAGCCTGTTTTCCCTGGGTCCCGGCAGTGGTTTGCGGCCGGACCGTCTCTAAGCTCGCGTGCTGTTCAAAGGATCCGTTTCTTGCATGGCGGGTCCTTTACTTGGATCATGGGAATGTAAGATTGTGTCCAATTCCAAGTCCCTGTGATTTCAGGTCTTGGAATGCTTCTTGCAAAAGCTTTCTGCAAGAATGATGTGCCCCCAATTCACATGGAACCTGGTGTCCCGGTCCCAGGCCAATGGTCCATCCCCCGGAAAGCGCAAAAGGGACTTCGATCTCAGGCCGCCCAGGAGATGTACGCGGCGGAGGCACGCAAGGAGTCCCGGGGCGCCCATGCCCATGAGAACTTCCCGGACCGGGATGACGAGAAGTGGATGAAGCATACCTTGTCCTGGCTGGATAAGCCTTTCGTGGAGGAGACGGGTTTGGCTTCCAGAAAAAAGTCGTGTTGCTTTGTTTTGGTGTTTTGGGAAGGGGGGGACATCCTTTGCCCAAGAGTTCCCTTTTGGCTTCCGTGAAAAGGGAAGCCACTGGAGGTTAGAAGGTTTTGTATAGAATTCAATTGGGTCAAAACGAAACCACCAGGAATTGGACCGCAGGTTTTAGTCCATGGTTCCATTCACCAGGGCAACCCATTTTGGGTACCTATTTTTGACCCACACCCATGTTCCAAGCCCATTTTCCAGGACGCCAAGGTGGTGCTCAAGTACCGGTCCGTGATTGACCAGCCCCTGGATTCGGAGATGCATCACGTGCCCCCCGCCAAGCGCGTGTACTGAGGCAACTCGGCACTTTGCTTCTGAAATAGTTTGAACAACGGTCAGCCTTCTGGCAAGAATTTAGTATATACATAATATATATATATATATGTATATATATAGAGAGATTGTTTTTATGTAATTAAATATATTCACATATGCAGAATATATATATATATATGCGACGGCTTCCCCACCACTTTAGCAACAACATTCTTCTCAGAAGGATGGTTGTACCGGGAAGGGACGAGATGCAACGAGACTTCTGAAAGATGCAGGTGCCCCCAAATAGCAAGCAGATTGACTTCTTGCACACGAAGACCAACCCAGGTGACGGAGACTCGGGCCATGGCCCGAATTTTCACTGCGCAGAGGTGTCAGCGTGTTACGCAGCTCGGTGGCTGCTGATTTCAATGAATTGAATGTTTTGCCGCCTGTCTTAGGGGGTTCAGCCCAGCAGCAGTTTGTCATGTTTGGTTGGAGTGTTGTTGTTTGCACCCTTGTGGGTGTCGCACTCAGCCGCCAAGCCGGGTGCGGCTCGGTCAAAGCCACATGCCGTGAGCTTTCCGCGGTCGCTGCAGATTCCGCGGGATCGCGGAGTCTTCTCGACCCCCGCCAGAGTGCTCGATCTTTGTCCCGAGCTTTGGCAAAATAATTCTCAGCAGGTATCATGCATGCCTCGGGTGTATTGTTTGTTTCTCACCATGGCTCTGTGGGTCCGTAACTCGGGCCAAATGATGATCTAAGGGGTGTTGGGCTATGCAGGGCTTCGTCAGAACTATACTCCAGGAGCCAGAACACAGTCGTATCCCCAAAAAAAGGTTCACCCTGAGCTCAGATGTACCAACGTATCCCTTTCACCCTTCATAAACTGCATAAATGGCCTCGCAGCTGATTTGCGAGTCTCAAAATCCATCAAGTGCCAGAGGACTTTGGTCGCTCAGACACGGATGCCCGTGAATGTTGCCGAAACAAAATTTGGTTCAATTGACCAGTTGGCCCCCCCAATCTTTATGGACGTGGGTGGTGCACAATGAGGCGCCTTTTGTTCTCCAAGTCACCTTGGTTGGGAACTACAATGGCAATGATGTTTTGAGGGAAAGAGATGGGATGGACATTTTGAGACCAACGTTGGCCAACATTGAAAGACGTGTTGCTTGACCTTGACGACTCCTCTGGCCATGTTTTAGTTTGTTTTCTTGTGAATTTCTCGTTTTGTGTGTGTGTGTGTGTGTTCCATAGTCACTTCGTCACTTAGTCACTTAGTAACTATTACATACTTGCATGTATACAATAAAACACACACACACACACACTAACACACATGGACTAGAACGCACCCACACACACATATGCATGTCAGATCATATGGCCATGGGTCATAACCTATGCCTCCATTTTGGGGTGATTGAACACGCATTTGCCACCTATTTTTGATGTTCACCAGGGTACAGGGTTTTGACCCACAGCCATATGAGCGTATCCACAAACACACTCCGCTAGGTTTTTTCAGTAGTGCCCTTTTCCCCCTTGTTTGGGGAGGGTTCCCTTACCAAAATAGACTACAGAGAAAAAAAGAGAAGAAACAAAACGTACCCTTTTTCTAACCTCTCGAATCTGGAGCACCGAGTCAGACGTCACTCGCGTTTGGCGCCACGCCGGGAGTCAACGCAACGCATTGGTCCCGCGCAGCTCTTCGCGGAGCACGCGGAGCGGCTGTGGGGCCCTGGGCGTGGGGTGCCCGCCTTCGAGGCGACGGGGTGGGGCGGGGAGGAGCTTTGGGACTTCGGGGGTGGGGTGGAGCTTTGGGGCCGGCGTTCGATTTGTTTTTGGTTGGGTTCGGGTTTTGGTCCGAGGTGATGGGTGGGCTTGGTTTGTGGGTGTGTTGGGTGGGTGTTGGTGGTGGTCCGAGGGCAGCTCAGATTTAGGTCGTGGGTTTTGCGGAGGTGGAGGCTGTTTCTTGTTTTTGTAATTTAGACCCTCAGGGACGGGGAATGTTTGGCAGCGCGGGGAGTGTCTCAATCTTGGGGTGTTGGTGGAGTTGAGCCGGAGGGGCTCGTTGATTGCTTTGCATAGGGCAGTTTGGGATGTAGGGCTTGGGGTGATGGTTTTCCTTGTGGTTTCAAAAGGGTACCCTCAAAAAGACACACCCCCGAAATTAACGAAGGAGGCTCGATTCAGCTAGCCAGGGTGTTGCTTGATCTTCCTTTCCGAAACTGGGGTGCTCCTTTACTCAGCCAAACAGGTCTTTTGACGCTCTCTTTATCTGTTTGTGTTTTCTTCCCCTTCTCCCGTTGCTTCCTTTCCCTGTACTTTCTCTGTCTTTTCTGCGATTTCTCAGACTAAGAACGTTTGTGATGTATGGGTTCGTGTAGTCTTGTAAGGCAAGACCTGTGAGCCAAGGAAGACGTCCCGTGCTTCCCTTGCTTCCCTTGTCGCTTTTGCTTTTCCTTTGGTGCCGGTCCAGTGTGATGTGGCTGTGTGGCTCGACCCAAACTGACTCGTCTTTTGGAACGTGTCCTTCGTCCTACGTAGCGGTTCAAGCTGAGTTGTTTGGCAGCGGGTAGTTGACTCACCGCCTCGCACGGTCGACACGTGGTCCACCACCATAGGCCTTGTTGCTGAGTTAGAGACTTGGAATGCCAACAATTTTTATGGAAGCACTTGCCATCTTCATATGTCCGTGGTCCTTGACCCCAGAAAGCGCAGCGTTTAGACGGGTTAACAAAAGTGCGGTGAGTGTCGATTGTCAAACATAGAGATGGCTTGCTGACATCGTCGCCGAAATCCTTGGGCATGTGGTTTGACCCCTACAGAGGATGCAGCAAGGGCACTTTGGAGTTTGACACTCCTTTGACTTGGCGCCATGGGCTCAAGTGGTCAACTGCTTGATTTCAATCCGACCAGAACCAAGCCTCGCTTGAATAGCAGCAGACTCTTTGGTTGGTTCGGTTCACGCAGGACGAGCAGGGGCGGAGCCCCCAAACAGTCAATCAGGGAAGTCTACCCGGACGAACTTGTGCTGACCTGTTCAAAGCCAAATCACGATTCAATTGTATAAAGCAGAGGTTGAACTTCCAATTGATTTGTTGTTCTTCGGTGGTGACGGATCCCACAACTTCCAGGTTGTAGGGGTTTCCCCTTGTGGAGGTGTCCTACGGATTGCGCATCACCCAGATGTGTCTCTTTTGGATTCTACCCTTTTTGTGAAGCCAAAAGGACGCCACCCATTCTTTCATATATTTTGTTTTGGGCGGGGTTACCCCATGAGACAAACCAGGTTGGTTTCTCAGTGCCAGGCTATAAGACCAGCAGAGGAAGAGTTCGAGCCTCCTGCACCACCAGGCTGCGCTGGACAGATCTTAACCCCTGAAACTGATTTTTTGATTTTTTCTGTTTGGTTTACGGTGCTTCTGGGCGTTTTCCGCTGGTGTGCCTTTCATGGAATGGCTTATGTCCATGTGATTCTCGCTGGTCTCCTTTGGGGTACAATAATTTGTACATGGTTCTGGCTGGCTTCCTCTAGTGGACGATAATCTAATTGCTTCTTAGTTCTCGATGGCTTTCTTTGGTTTACAATTGGTGTGTTGCTGGTTTCTTTTGGTGTGCAATGGTTTGTTTCTTGCTAGGTTTGCGATTGTTTGTGCATTTCTTGCTGGTTCCTTTGGTTTACAATGGTTTGCGTGTGTATCTTGCTGGCCTTCCTTTTGTTTGCAATTGTCTCTGTTTTTCGGGCACGTTGCTCGGGTCTGTGGGCCATGTGTAAATACAATTCGCTGTTTATTTGGGTCCGATCCTTTGTCATTGGAATGGTGTTGAAATCGGACCGCAGATTCTGAATGCCTTATTTTTTCTCGCTGGCACAAAATCTGGCATTTAGACAACCCAGATTGGTTGATGTTGCCCGAAAAGGAAAGCACGCAGGGCCTTGACAATGTTGTTTATTTCGCCCAAAAGTTGCATATATTTGTCTATGGCATTCCTTGTTTGACACAGGGTCCCTGCGTTTCCCGTGGTTTTTGGCCAACACAAAGTGAGTTTCCTTTGGGTGGGGTCGTATTCAAAGGGGATCTGTTGGGAGCGCTGTGATACGGAGTCAGACGCTGGGCTTGGGACGAACCTGGTTGAACCTGTCCAGGGATCGATCCAAAACTTCTCGCGCAGAGCTGACCCCCCCGGCAATGCGAGGAACCCACTTTGGGGTGCATGCTGGGCAAGATACAACAAGCTTGGCAAAACGAGATCAGCCATGAAGGTCGCCTGGAAAGAAATTCAACTTATTTCTGGTTGCCAAAAAAACTCTCTTTCACGTGGGAAGTCGTGCATATGTCAGGAAGTCTATGAATAGTTTGCAAGGAACAAGGGGGACTCTTTACGTTTCATTTTTCAAGCACAAAAAAGAGTAGCAGCCAAATATTGACTGTGGCTCATGTGTTTGTCCAGAAATTGAGGGGCCCTCTTGGGACCATGTTTAAAGGGAAGCCAAGGAGAAACGACTCCCCATGCAAGCTTTGTAAAGGGAAACTAAGATTGCAGCTAGCCACTTGTGGGCCATCACCCTCCCAAAAGTCTGAAATGGCAGCTTTTTTGTGGGATCAGTCTGCCCCTGTTTTGGACACATTTGCAGAATCTAGTGTTGTTACTATAAGGGGCCAGACAATGTTGAGAATGTTGCTTCTCTGATCATGAGTACAATTTGACAATGAGTCACTCCTCCGACTTCATTCAAACTATTTGAAGTCCACTATGCAGCTCAGGCTCAATTCGTAGCCCTTTTGGGGACTCGCAACCAGCACGCCCCCATGAGACAGTCCAAACTGGACGTGTGTCTTGGGTTAGCATGTTTGGGGGGTGGCAGTTTCGTGACGGGCTTTGGAGTCCTTCGCTGAAAGAACTCGGAAGGACACGGCTGTTGAGTCGAGGCCAGGAGCATATGGCTCCAAAACAAATGCAAGTAAACCCGGTAACTACAGTCCATATCTACAAAACACACATGGTTGTGTTTCAAGAAGCACCACAAC